TGATCGAGGCCGGCAAGAACGGGATCGACGTGACCGGAGGCGACGGCGCCGTCCGCAGAGTCCACCCCATCCTCGCCACGTACGTCGCAGACTTTCCCGAGCAGTGCCTTGTTACCTGCACGAAGTACGGAACGTGCCCCAAGTGCCGACTACCCGAGGCTGATCTCGACGCTGCTTCCCCAGGAGTGCCAAGGAGCGCGCTTTGGACTCTGGACGTTCTACGCCTTGCAAGGAAGAAAAGCGGCGGAAACACCAACTCAGCAACGTACGCGAGGGCGTGTACCAGTCTCGACGTCTCCGGATACGTCATACGCCCTTTCTGGAGCGATCTCCCCTTCACCGACATCCACTCGTGCATCACGCCCGACATTCTCCACCAGCTCTACCAAGGCGTGTTGAAGCACATCGTCGAGTGGTGCAGCGACCTCATCGACGAGAATGAACTGGACCGCCGAATTCGCACCCTTCCCCCCGCGTTCGGGACTCGTCACTTTGCTAACGGGATCACTTCTCTATCCCAAGTATCCGGTATGGAGTCCAAGCAGATCGCACGCATCCTGCTGGGATGCTTGGTCGGCAAGATTCCTCAGAACGTCATGCTTGCGTTCAGATCTCTACTCGACTTCATCTATCTCGCGCAATACACCACCCACGATGACTCCACCCTCCAGTACATGGAAGACGCCCTCAAAATCTATCACAAGAACAAACAAGCTCTGGTCAATCTTGGCGTGCGCGAACACATGAAGATCCCGAAGTTCCACTCCCTCCTCCACTACGTCGAATCAATCCGGTTGCTTGGCGCAACAGACAACTACAACACGGAAGCCTTCGAACGTCTTCATATTGACTATGCCAAGAACGGCTGGAGGGCGTCGAACCATCGCGACGCGCGTCCTCAGATGGTCCGATGGCTAGCACGCCAGGAGAAGATGATCATGCTCAGCTCTACCATTCGCAGGAAGCTACAAATCGACGAGGATCCGGACGAGGACGCTGCCTTTGCGTCTGAAGACCCGGACCTTTCGACCAAGCGCCACACCCAGATCAAGCTGCCAAAGAATCCAAGCGTACCGCTCCAGTCCATCAAGCTCGTCGAAGAACGTCACAACGCACCCGGTTTTACACACGCACTCCTCCAGCATATCTATACCCTCAAACTCGGTCGACGCCTCACTCCGACTGAGCTTCAGACCGCGTCGTCCAACTTGCCGTTCAATCGCGTCGACGTTTTCCACGGATTCAAGTTCGCTCCCCAGCCATTGACTGACGACAAGAACGAGACCGACGTGGTGAAGGCGCGTCCAGCATGCGCCAAACAGCCTGCCCGTTTTGATACAGCAGTCATCCTGCAGGAGAGTGATGCAGAGACGACCGGCCTCCAAGGTATGTGACCGACTCGCGTTCAAATGAATATTCGTTTACTCAAAGACGCATGTCGCTCAGGAACAAGAATAGGACGAGTCAAGGTTATCTTCAGACTCCCGCAGCGCATACATGACCCGCGGACCAGCGTTGCCTTGCCTGCGCCTGCGTCCTGGCCAGATCAAGGGCCACTAGCGTATGTGGAATGGTACTCCGAGCTCGCACGTACAGCCGACCCAGTCCATATGATGTACGCGGTCAACAAACCCGCTCTCAGGGCCAACGGACATCCCCAAGGAGAGATAATACCTCTCAGCATGATACGGCAGTCTTGCCAACTGATTCCCAAGTTCCCCGGATCAGTGGGAGATTCTCCTGAGCATCTACCAGAGGAATGGACGACTCATACTGTACTGGATTGCGCTTCAAAGTTCTTATTGAACAATTGGACCTCTCACTACGCGTATCAAACACTTTGGTAGTCATTAGCTAGCTTACACGTACTCCAGGGGTCTTAATGTAGAGCACTGAAGCTGCATGGCTCGAGTCTTGAAAACAAGGCGCAAATCTCAAAGGTACTTCATTTCCCTTCAGCGGTCTTCAGGTGCATACTGCACTCGTTTAAGGTGCACAAGTTACCAGAGGTCGCTTAAGATCGCATGGTTCTTATTTAAGACCTCTGAAGTAAGAAACGTTTTTCCTGATGATGTATGCAACGTGGTGACAGGAGAGTGGACTTGTGCGCCAGCGAACGTACTTGGAGAGGTTTCCGAAGAACACATACACGGGCCACGCCTTGGCCTCTCCAAATTGAGCGAGGTGAGTTGCATCGGACCAGAGCATCATGCCGGCTATGACGCGCTCAAGCTTACACCCGTCGCTTCGTTGGACTTTCTGGAGGTCATCGTGCGCCTTGATCCATGCGTCACTGGTGTACAGCTCGTCGTAGAGGCGTTCAACCTTGCCGGTGAGCGATGACTTCCAGAAATGACGGAAGGGGAAGAGATGGAACCGCCGCGCAATGGGCTCAACGAAGGCGGATTTGACTATCTCGATGAGTGACCGGTGCCGCAACCCAGGTACAACAAAGCGCTGCGTCCGAGGGGCTGGTCCATCCTTTGATCCTGTCGGGATCTCAATCTCGACACTGGCCTCCCTCCATCCATCCCCTCCGTGCGTAGCTGGCTCATCTGCTGGCCTGGGCATTGGCGGCGATGACTCTGACATGGCTGCCTCGTCGTGCGGTGGCGGGTAGGAGCCAGCCTTGTCTAGGCGCTGCTTCTCGCGTTGAATGTTGATCGCAGCAAGGTCGTGCGGGTCAAAGTCCACTGCCTGGAAGACATCTCCAACAAGACGGGTCGCCTCTCCTTCCGACTTGGTCGAGCTGCCGGTATACATCCAGCGCATGAAACGCCAGGTTGTCATATTGGTGAAAGGCCATGGAGGTGCGTTCTCCGACTCGGCTGGAGGACAGGAGGACTCTGCTGATCCATTACTGCTAGGAGCCTCCCTGGCAGTGACCGGGTCGCCCGCTAGGCAATCAAAGTCGGCCAAGTCTTCGGTGGGAACGGATGCATCGGGGTCGAACGATGGTCGATAGGGGTACTCCCGGAAGGTGCCAAATGAATTCAAGGCGGTGCGTATGGTGTCACGGACATGAAGGATCACTCGACGAGTTGGACCAACCAGCGGACTCATAGCTTCATTGATATCCCCAGCCCTTGAGCCACCGTTCTCTGGGTGCTCACAGCTCTCATCTGGGATGGGCTCGGGCCGCTCAGGAGGTATGTCGAGGTGCTGGCCAGGCAAGGGTGCTCGCAAGCTGTTGTGCATCTCGCGATACCGCTTTGGTAACTGACGACGGCGCGCAGGGCGTCTGGATGTCGACACAGGAGTATTGGGTGCGCTCGGAGGGTAGGCTACCGGCGCCGTGATAGGTGTGTCGATGCCAGAATGAGAATCCACGTCCATGGGCTCCTGTTCACGAACGAGGTGAGTTGAGTCTACAGACAGTCAATAGACCACTCACTGGGATAGATTCGGCAGCAGGCTCATTCTCAGTAGCCTCAACCGCCTTTGCAGCCTCCTTCCGAGCCTCCTTCCGGTGAGCTTGGCGTTCCTTCACGTGAGCCTTCGCCTCCCGATGTCGTTGTGCGTCGTTAACCGTAGACTGTTTGTATGTTGGGCACTTGCCCTGGTGAATTCGTAGCTTGACCGCCTTGTCGAACTTCGCACTGCAAGATCCACTGCAGCGATACATGGCACCAGTCAAGATCACCAGTACTGCAAGAGTGATGTAGATCCGGACACATTTGTCCGCACATGGGCGCATTGCCACGTCTCACAGCAAAAGGTAGCGTTTGTCTTCAGACAGACACTGTACAAGTGGACTTGAAAATGACAGAGATGTTCAACAGTGAGCCCATCCGGCGGGCAGCAGTCCCGACGCAGATCGCGTGTTGGGGATCTCGGCCCCAAGAGCATATGGCATCAGCACAATGCCCGTTTTTCCTGGTGGACAACTACGCCATGGTGGGGCAGGTTCGTCACTGCGCAGCTCGCGTTGCTTGACTACACTGATCGCTCACGAGCTTTGCCAATTTCTGTCTGATTTCTGACGCATTTACACCACAGATGATGCTCCACAGGAACCCACCGTGCTCTGCACATATAACTCGAAATGCTGCTGCACGGCACTGGCCCGACACAACTGCTTGTCGGTCCTCCAGCCATGGCAAACTCACAATCCAATCTAGCAAGTTCTCAACGCCCATCAGCGACAAACACTCAGGCTGGACCCAATTCTCCGAGTTGCGGGACCTCGGAGTCCATTGGGACGGACACTCAGGAGGTTGCCCGGCTCAAGCGGACCATCGCCGAGCTCCAAGACAAGAATGGGCGCATGCAGGCTGAGCAGGAAGCGAGGGATAAGCCCAAGTAAGCGTACTTTGGCTTCGGTCATACTACTTTAATATGTTGAGTCTGATTCTCATCTCTTAGCCGTGAACGAGTGTTTGTCTCCCTTGGCCGTGCATTCCGCCGTCTTGTCTCGCTCTATGATGACCCACGTGTTCTCGTCAATGAATTTGACAAGCGCGCTGAGGCGGATGAGCTGACGGATGATGAAGACGAAGATCACCCTGCGTTCCGTGATGTGAATTCCATGAATACGTAAGTGCTCCTTCCAGCATAGCACTAGTCCGCTGTCTGACATATGTTTCGCTCCTGCAATAGCGGCGAGTTGCACGCTGATCGCACCTATCATGGCTACAAGGCATTGCACTCCCATATTCCTGAAGCAATCAAGTACCTCGAACGTGCCGATGTCTCGCCGTCAGACATCAATGTGATGTATAAGACGGTATGCCACCTGTTCTTTGCTGTTGCCGTCACTTGAGATCACTAACCCGAGTCTACGCAGATCAAGGACAATGGCGACAAAGCGCGCGCTGATGACACATCGACGTTGAAACAGAGTGTCGTCTATTGGATTCAGCAGGTGCTTCCGAACGCACCTAGGACCGCCTTGGACCGCCTTCTCTCGCATCCCAGATCAAAGGACGTTCGCGGCCTCCAGAACGACGCTACTGCAGAGCTACTGTGCCCAGTAGACTGGGATTGGGGCAATGAAGGGTATTTATTTGTCTGCATTTTCATGCAATCACTATGAACTCACAACACCGTGATCGGCCATGTTGTAGGGTTCGTAACAAGGTTAAGGATCGCAGCCCCGAGTATCAAATCACAAGTGCCGATTTCCCGAGGTTCTTCTTCTCAATGAAGGACCACGACCCTGAGGATCTAGAGAAGACGCTATTTCGCGGTCCTCTCCTCTTGAGGGTGAGTCGTCACTTGCATGATTATGTGCGACAAGAACACTGACTCGGACATGATGATCATTTTTATAGGCCTTCAAATGCATCTACACGTCACCGAGCTCTGCTATGGACTTCGGGCTCAACAGTGAGGACGAGGACAGTGACGAAGATCAGGTGATCACCGTTCAACCGCCCTGCAAAAGGCAGCGGATGCTCAAGCAGCCGACTCGATCATCGGTGGCTGAGATCCTGAACTTGAAGAGAGTGACCGGCCGCTCAATCGCATATGTCTGTGTGCAGGTGAGTGTTGCTGCACACTGGGTCATGTGCTCATCCTAACGCAGCGACAGGTTCACTTTGCGCTCAGTGATCTAGGTCAATGGAGCCGAGACGTCGCTCAATTTGATTACGAAGCTTTCTATTATGGTATAGTGGACTACTTCGAGCGCCCTCCCGGTCCTCAGGCGGAGGCTCGGGCCAAGGTATTGCTCCAATGGTGGACCGAGTACGTAGTGCCTCGCATCTTGACTTTGACGTATTCTCACAAGACCACCCGGAACAGAGCCATCTTTGGCAAGGCCCGTGCAGATCCCAGTACGGCTTCAGCTGCGGGTTCCGTCTCAAGGCTTGCAGCCCAGCGTCTTGCGAAGGAGGCTGCCTCGTAATAGTGTAGTCGCCGTCCGCGTCATTGCAATGTACTCTATATCTCCGAGTCAGCTGTACTAAGATATTATGCCATCGTGATCCGTTGACCTTCTCGTGTGCTGTTATGGTGTTTGTTTAATTGTATGGCGGTCCTGAACATATCTCAATGGTCACTTGAGAGCAATTAGGCTGTGTCTTGGATACGTGCACAATCCAGTGTAACCCTTATAAGTGATGCCACCTTTGGTTCAGATGTAACATGTCATCGATACTGGTGCATAGCCGGCTACTCACATTCATGCTATTGATGAGATATCATGTATAGCAGGATGGCTCCAACTCGGAGTAGGTGGCACCACTGGCCATGATGGAACACTATGACGAGTTGATAGGTCTTGGCCATACCTGGCATGAAGGTGCATCCATGTATGGCATGTCCGATCTGGGGTCCCTATACATCGGTTGTCGCACTATCACTGCCTTATATTGTTGGTACGTATTGCCAATGGCAAACCCCTTATACAGTGGAATGTAAGAGTATGCACCAACCTGGGATGCTCTTACATTGATTACGTCTCTTATAAGGGCTTTGTAAGATCTTGTACGATTCTTCGGCTTTTGGTGATGAAAAGAACCGACGAAGGGCACTGTCGCAACTTTCTTACGGCCATTCCAATGATCCGGCATATCAAATGCCATTGCCATGTGATTGGAATGGTCGGTGGGTGATTAGATTAGATACAAATGACTTTTCCGGCCTGATATTGGCTCCTCGGCCATCGCTTCGCACGATGGCTGATTGCAATGGCCTCTCGATCATTCCGATGCCTCGGCGCGGAAACCCGGGGCATTCCGATCCGACAAGACAGATCGCAATGTGATTGCAATCGTCGATTAGAGATCGCGCAGCCTTGCCCTCCTCCATCGCTCTCGCCTCGCTCGCCCGCTCGACGCCCTCGATAATGGCTGATGCTCGGGACGTCGCTCGTGCTGTGCGCAACTATACCTCGACTGAAGACGTGACATGTGATCTCTGTGATAAACCCTTCAATAAGAAGGGATATGGCCGACACAGAAAGAAGTGTCTGCAAGAGCATCAAGACAAGGCCCGGGACTTGGAACTTGCAGCTCATCTTAGGCAGGCACAACAACTAGGTATTGCATACATTAAAATGAGGAAAAACATTCTCACTCAATATCTGCACAAATAGATGAACAGAATAGGCTGAAGAGATACCAGGATGAGCTGGGAGCTAGCAAGTGGCTACTTGATGCACTGGACAGGCACTATTGACAGCCTGCTACTCTCTAGGGGTTTCCACAGGTCAATTTGGCAGCATAGTGGAGTCAAATGTCCATATGCAAGCTGGTGAGCATGATAAATCAACTGTATTCATACATAAACCTGATGTGTGCATGAGGTTCTCATGTACCTGAGGGCATGGTGTCTGAGGATCTACAAGTCCAAGAGCATGAGCCTCAATGTGTGTATGAATATTTTTAGAATTAGCATCATTTTTAAAATTGTACTTTGCCATGGCAGCATCTCAGTACAAAAAAGGTGATATCAAGACTCGCTACCACCCCAGGAGTGGGAAATCATCATTTGTCCAATCATTGAAGGACTACAATGCTGCTGAAGAGAAGATGCGGAAGCCACCTCAGCCCTCGGAGGATCCTTGGAGGCCATATCGCACCAGATCTGACTTTGAATTTTCAGACATTGCTCTGGATGCATGCTTGAATGAACAACAGACTGAGGCACTGATCAAGCTCATCAATCATGTAGTCTCAGGCCAAGATCAGTTCACTATCTCAAGCTATTCAGAGCTACGTAAAGTCAGACAATCTGCATCAGCATTGTTGACACCAGTATGTGAAGCATATCTGTTACGCGACGGGTAGGAGCGGGACAATGAGGAAGGCGATAGCCAATACGAGAACAAACTTCTACTAAAGACGCTGCCTTTAACAAGGGCTTACTCTCGTCTAGAGTCCGGATCCGTCGGGGCGTTCGAGAGGACTAGCCGTGCTGGCTTCCTCAAAGGCTCCTAGTCGGTTGGGCCTATCCGAGCTTGGTCGTCACCTGCCACTAGGGCGTAGGGGAAGTGGGCAAGCGAAGGGGATAGGATTCAAGAGTTAACCAGGTCGAACGTGAAGTTCGACCGCTACTGTACAACGAGTTTAAATACAAGAGATAACGCGATCAGCGCGGATAGATACGTAAGCAGATCACTGGGGCAGTGTCCGGTAGCGTATGGTACAGATGGCGGCCCGCGGCTACAGGTGGCCGCCCGAGATAGATAATCACCGCACGGGGTGATGAGGATGGTACGAATGATGCAGATCATACTGATGAGATGCGAAAGGACTAACCGTTCCGTAACAATACCCCCCAACTATGGTCGACGTCCTCGACGACCTTAGCTTCAGGCCTCCGGGTCGGGCTCATTGTAGCCGTCGGTTTCGCCGACATCGTCGTCGAGGTCGATGGTTCCAAAGCGAAAGGCGTCCTGGGCCTGCTGGGCACGAGGGAAAGCGGCGAGGATGGAGGTGCGAGGAGTCGAGGGTAGGGTCGAGTACGGGGGAGCGGGGGTCCCCGAGACGCTTCTCTCCATCGCCTCAATGAGAGCTCGGTTCAACGGACCCGGGCTAGCAAGAGTCGACGTCGGTGACACCTCCGAGGGAGTGAGCGGTAGGCAAGAGGAGAACCCGCGTTCCTCGGACATCTTCGTAGAAGGCGCGCTTTACCCCTCGGTAGTAGTTCTCCACAAACGTGCGGGCTTCCGTCATGAGCTCTGGTAAAGCCAGGTGGGGCGAGCGAGCCCCCTCGAGGACACAGTTGCGGAAACGGGTTACGCCATCCAGCTGGTCGAGGGCGGTTTGGTAGTTGGGAACGGAATAGATTCGCCCAGCAGGGCGTGACACCACCATACGACGTGCCTCCTTGGGGTCCTTGTAGACCCCGTCGATTCGTCCACCCCGGACAACATGATACTCGGGCCAGCTGGGGATGGGGGTCTCGTCGACGAAGATAGGGTTTCCGGTCCTCCCTTCGGGTCTGAAGGTAGTGGCGGCCGCGACGGCATCGCAAATCTCAGCGACAGAGGAGAGGAGGGCCAGGTGATCTGAAGAAGGAGAGAGGGCACAAACCACCCCAAGGAGGTCCTTGTACTCCGGGTCAGCACGTCGGCGAGATCGTGCGGGGCACGCAGAGTGGATGTGACCAGGGTGAGGAGTGGCGCAGCTAGGGCAGACGTACTTGTCGCAGTCGACGAGGTCGTGAGATGTGTGCAGGACGTCGTCCGTCGTACAGAGGAAACAGGCCGTGGTCATGGTGATAGTGCGGAGGACGTCGAAGGAAAGTGTGTCCAGGGGTCTCTTCACGAGCGATGTGGGGAAGGTGGTTCCTTCCGGGTACTTGGTCCCGACTGCCGCTTGGCGCGCCTCTCGGAGTTTCGAGACGACGAGGGAGCAGACATCGAGGTACTCGAGGGCGTCACGGCATTTCTCGAGGGCGTCATCGCGATACTCGGTGAGGACGCGGATTTGGTCCTCCAGCAGCGACTGCCTGACGGCGAGTTCACGATACGTTTCCAGAAAGTGGGAGATGGCGCGGAAGTCACCGGTCTTACGCTCGAGCGTGACTTGGTTGTGCGGGAGTTTGGCAACGAGGGAGAAACAATCGTAGGGACGGTTGACGAGGGTGGATAGGATTCCCCAGTCGACCACGAGTGGGGCCACTGATCCTGCTTCTGGGAGGAAGGGGAAGGCAGATTCGGTGGGAGTCCAGATGTCGGGAGTGGCCCTCGATGAGGTGGTCGGCATCGGGACTCGTGGCCTTCGGTCTTGACGCGACATTTGCAAACGGTGCAGTAGGAGTAGTAAGGAGAGGCAAGGATTCGTTCTCGACGTGGGAGCGCGGTGTAGGCGAATTCGGGGACAGCGGCGGTCCACTTAGCGTAGTACTGCTCGTATGGATTGCCGGTGTAGTAGATTGAGGGCACGTCGAGGGCGAAGTCGGAGGTTGCGGAATCCAGGATGGGCGAAAGGAGGGAGGGTGCGCTGCCTGAGAGGTTAGGAGAGTTGGTGCAGCTCCTTATACTCCGAGAGGATCTCGTCTCCGCCTCCTTCCAAGGAACTTTCCGGTTCCCATGTTGCTTCCGCAGTAGGATACCCTCTCCATTTGATGAGATATCTCCGGCGTGATCCCGTACCCTTATGGCGGAGTATCGCCTCCACTTCCCATCTCGCTCCATCTTCCGCATCATCAGGGGGAGGACGGAGATAATTGGGGCCGTGCTCGGAGGTTTCGACGAATGGAGTTAGCAATGCTGCGTAGAAGACAGGGTGGACTCGCCTCCACGTCTTTGGCAGATCAAGGCGGTACGTCGCCTTCCCCATCACTTCTTTGATGGTGAAGGGCCCTTCGCGTTTCGGGTTGAGCTTCTTGGACAGGCCTGGGAGTCGTAGGTTCCTTGTGTCCAGCCATACCTTCTGTCCTTTCCTGAAGGGTTGCGTGTGTGTCTTGACTCGTCGTTCCACTGCCCGTTGGGCCCCTTCCATTGCGTAGAAGGCTTCTTCTCGAGCACGTGTTAGGTAATCTATGCGGTTCTGAGCGGTTACGTTGGTGGATTTCTCCGTGATCGGGGGAATGCCGCGAGGTTCGTATCCCATCATGAGATAGAAGGGTGATGCCTTGGTTGTCGAATGTTCCCGAGAGTTGTGCGCAAACTCAGCGTCCGGAAGAAGCTCGTCCCATTGTTCCGGGTTGTTGGCCGCAAAGATCCGCAGGTACGTTTCCAACTCCTGATTCATCCGCTCCGTCTGTCCATCGGTTTGCGGATGATAGGCGGTGGAGAGAGCACGTTCCACACCACATAATGAGCAGAGTTCTTCCATGACCTGCGAGGCAAATTGAGGACCACGGTCGGAGATCATTCGAGTCGGTAGTCCGAAGCGTCGCCATACGTTATCATGGTAGAGTTTTGCGGTGCTTTCCGTGGTCTCGTCGTCTTTGCAAGGGATAAAAACTGCCCCCTTCGTAGAGTCGTGGTCCACTACGACATATAGGGAATTGAAGCCATTGCGGGTGGTTGGGAGGGATGTGGCGAAGTCCATGGTTACGCAAGAGAACGGTGTAGCGTGCGACTGGGGCGGTATTGGGATAATCGGGATTGACGTCGGGTGGGTGTTGACCTTCATCTGCTGGCAAGTGGCACAGCCTTTAACGTACTTCGCAATGAAGTCTCCCATTCGTGGCCACCAGAAGTCGCGCTTGACTAGTACAGTAGTCTTCTGGATGCCTGGGTGTCCGGCTGAGGGGAGGTCATGGTAGAGTTTGACGACCCGTCGGCGTAGGTCCATGTCGGGCGGAACATATACAGCGTCTTGGTACCAGACAAGTTCTCCATCCGTTGCCCAATCGGCTAGGGACATCTTCGCGGGTGGGGGTCCATGCCCTAGTAGGGCATCCATGGCCTCCTTCACTAGCGGTTCCTTCTCTCCGCATGCTTTGACATCGTCGAGTAGGTCGGCATTTATCGCGCGTATGAACAGGTGCCCAGGGAGGAGGGTCGTGTAGTCGCTAGTGAAGTGGATCTCGTCTGGGTCGACTGTGAGCGCGCGTCCAAAGACTTTGTCCGGTAACATTGTGATGTCGTCGTTATCATCGCTACCATCGTCATGGTCGGCACGCCGGGAGAGGGCATCGGCTATAGTCATCTGGGACCCGGGTACATGAACCAGCTTGTAGTCAAACTCGGAGAGGAAGAGGGACCAGCGCGCCTGTCGCCGGTTCAGTTTGCGCGCGGTTCTCCAGTACGTGAGGTTCTTGTGGTCTGAGCAAATTAGCACTTCATGGGGGGCACCAATGAGGTAGTGGCGCCATGCTTCCAGTCCACGTACAATGGCAAGCAGTTCACGGTCGTAGATCTCGTAGTTACGCTCAGCGGGGTTCAGTGATTGCGAGATGAAAGAGCAGGGATGCCAATCGCCATTCTCGTCCTGTTGGAGAAGCACTCCTCCAGTAGCAAACTTGGAGGAGTCGCATTCAATTGCGAACGGTTTCGAGTCGTCGGGCATCAGGAGGGTGGGAGCCTTCATGAATTCGTTCTTCAGGTCGGAGAATGCCTCTTGTTGTGTTACGTCCCAGTGCCAGCGCACGTCTTTGCGCGTGAGGTCTACCAAAGGTCGTGCTCGTTCCGAGAAATGGTGGATGAACTTGCGGTAGAAGTTGGCAAATCCTACGAACGATCGGACCTGTTTGACGTTGGTTGGTACCGGCCAGTTACTGATCCCCTCCATCTTCACCGGATCCATTCCTATGCTTCCTGGTCGTATGATCATGCCAAGGAATTCCACTTCCTCAACGTCAAACTGGCATTTCTCCGGCTTAAGGTAGAGGTCGTGCTGGCGTAGTCGCTCGATGACCATACGTGTTCGCTTCTTATGCTCCTGTCGATCGGCTGAGTAGATCAGGATGTCGTCCATGTATATAACCAGCCAGCCCTCGCGGAGCATGTCATCGAAGATAACGTTCATCATACGTTGGAACGTAGAGGGGGAGTTGCATAGACCGAAGAACATCACGGTGGGTTCATAGAGTCGCGGTGGAGACCCGTTTGTGCCTGGCACAGCAAAGGCTGCCTTCCATTCGTCTCCCTCTCGGATACGGACATTGTTATATCCTGCACGCAGATCCATCTTGGCGAAGACCTTTGCGTGTTTGAACTTATCCAGGAGGTCGGATATGAGAGGGAGCGGGTAGCGATCCTTCACCGTGTTCTCGTTCAGCGTTCGGTAATCCTGACAAGGTCTCCACGAGCCGTCCTTCTTAGCTACGAAGAAGAACGGTGCAGCGATGGGTGACTTTGAGGGTCGAATGTAGCCCTTGCGTTCGTTTTCCTCGATGAACTTATCGAGCTCCTCGCGTTGCTTCTGGTCGAGTGGGTAAACGTGGGTCTTCATCTCAGTGAAACCGGGCTTCAGGTTGATCTCGTGGTCGTAAGCCGTGTGTCGGGGTAGTCGTGAAGCGGTGCTCTTGTCGAAGACAGAGAGGAGGTCGTGGAGGTACGCAGGGACCAGCTCCTCAACAGTTTTAGGCGTCTCACTAGAGGCCTTTGCTGCAGCCATCTGTGTTGCACTCGTCAGCTTCCCCAACGATGGGATTGCTGGAGCAACGTTGCCCTTGGTGGTTCGCTTGAAGCGATCCATAGTTGGTTCGACAGGAGCTCCACGGGACCATATAGTGGTATCGTCGTCAAATTCCCTGGTAAGCGGGGCCTCTGGCCAGCTCAGGGACATCAGGAACGGGTTCTGGGGGTCGTACGAGAACAGCATCTCGTCTCGTTCAAGGTCGGAAGTCATACGTGCAATCATTTCTTCGTGTGTTTCCTCGTGGTAGTCTTCTTCCCCTTCCTCCAGCTGAGTGGGAAGTGAGGTGAATCTCTCTTGGTGCCGTTCCATTAGGATTGGTTCGTCCGTGGTCGTGAGGCGGTCCAGCTCGACTATCTCCTCGTCGGCTACTTCCTCAACGGTGGTTCGTAGAGATGCAAACCCAGGCTTGGTTCTAGTCTCGGGGATCGGTTCTGACACTTCGCGCTTCACCCAGTCAATAGTGGGGTTCAGCTGCTGCAGCCAGTTCCACCCAAATAGTACGTCCTGCTTGCCGATGCTACAAACGTAGGCTGGGATATGGCGTCGTGTTCCAGCCCAGTCGTAGATGAGTTGGACACGATGCGTGATCGTTCCTTCTCTGTTGGGAGTGCCGTCGACGTTGAACACTCGTATCTGGGCGTCCAGCTTCTCGGGGACTATCCCTGAGTGTACAAGCATGCGAGGGTGGATGAACGTGGATTGTGCTCCACTGTCGATGAGGGCCTTAGTGTTGACGATTTTCGAGCCTCGCACAGTAATCGGAATAAATAGCGATCGATTGCTGTCGTTGGATACGTGCGAGACATACAAGGGTCCTTCTGACGTCAAGGCAGAGGACCTTACTGAAAACCCTTCAACAGTTCTGGGAGCACCTCCGCGCGTTCTTCCTCCGTCATCGAGCCCCAGTCTTCGACGACTCGGACTCGAGTGGTCTTCTGTGGCTGTTGTTGCGGTCTGCCTCGACCTCGGCCAAAGCCTCCTCCACGGCGTGGATTGTCCGTGCACTCACGCCCGCGGTGTCCGGGTTTGTGGCATATGAAACAGAGTCCGTCGCGGATGTGGCGCATCCGTTCCTCCTGCGTCATCCGGTCGATGTCCATCGGCTCGTCAACACGTCCATACACAGCATGCAGGTCAGGCTATCTGGCCTCAAGTTAGTGACAAGTTTGACTGGAGATAGGGAAGAGAATTTAAGCATATGTCAGCCCGGGTTATGCTCAAGTTATTCTGTTGGCGGTTTCAATTACATCGAGGCAGCTACCGTGAAGTTACGCTGAAGATACTATGACAAATCTGTCACTCTGTATTATTTGCATAACAAGACATCATGTTATGCCTATGTTAGGCAGGTAAAATTACATAAGCTATTTTGTGCCATATTAGGCTGATAAAGGTCTGATAATAGTTTGTCAGATGCTGGCTTTGATAATGTGGTACCTGACTAGGCAAATCATACTACTGAGGTATCCTACTGAGGTATCATGAGCACTGAACCCTCAATAATGTTGTGCCAAATAAAGCAAATGGTATTGTTGAGTTATTGTGACCACCAAGCCACTGAGCCTTCAATTTTCAATAATATGATGCCTATCTAGGTGAGTGATATTGACTAAGCATTATGCTCACCAAACTGTGCTGTGAGGGTCACAGTACAGATACTGCTAGGTTTAGCTCATGTGTTGACTTATCCTGAACATACAGTAATGATATGTATAACCTGGTAAGGATATGCCAGAGTGCTGTAGTGTAATTATATCCTATTTGGGATGATAACAGGTGGCAGCACAATACAGTGAAGGGGTTTGAATGGGATTGTGACCATCTGTTGCACATTGTATTCATGAACCATTGTACACATGGGCTGGGAAATTGTGAAGATGATGTAACATCAGCATATTTAGATGTGCCTTAAGGTGAACAAATTGTCAAGGTATTCTAATATGGTCACCATTGGCAAGGGTAGATTACCATAAAAGTACTGTTACATCAATCTGCTTTGTCTCTGGCTCGATGAGATTATATCACAAGTACACCCTCACACATGACATGTGTTAGAATAGGATGGTTCAGGCTATGTTCATATTATGCTAAAGTACAGCATGTAGTCATGTTAGCTGACCATAGAATCTGCTGTGCTGCACATACTTTGATTATATTCTGAACATACAATTCCTGGTGCAGCAACACAAAGGACTATGTCACATTGACTTATGCTTAACATATGCTGATGATTCTGAATTGTTGCTGACCATCACTTACTATCCTTTGTCCTGCTGCACCCACTGGGCTGTGCCACAGTCTCCTAGTGGGTGGCTGCACAGGAACTGTATGTTCAGAATATCATCAGAGTATGTGGAGCATGGCATATTCTATTGTCAGCCAATGTGATTACATGCTGTACTTTACCCTAACATTAGCATGGATCACATCATCTTATTCTGTACTTGCAATGTGATCTCATTGCAATCTTGTCAAGAAGGAGACAAAAGCAAACTTACATAACAGTACTTTTATAGTAATCTACCTCCACCAATGGTGACCATATTAGAATACTGTCACATTCTATTCACCATAAGGTGCATGAGCTGCACCCTGCAATTGTCATGTTCTGAACATAGGGTAATGAGATGTATAATCTGGTAAGGGTATACTGTGGTGCTGTAGTGTGACAATATCTTAATCAGGACTATATTCAGTGGTAGCACAATTATGAAGATTAAGTAGCATCAGCATATCTTGGTGCACCTGATGGTGAATAGAATGTGAAGGTATTCTAATATGGTCACCATTGGTGGAGGTAGATTACTATAAAAGTACTGTTATGTAAGTTTGCTTTTGTCTCCTTCTTGACAAGATTGCAATGAGATCACATTGCAAGTACAGAATAAGATGATGTGATCCATGCTAATGTTAGGGTAAAGTACAGCATGTAATCACATTGGCTGACAATAGAATATGCCATGCTCCACATACTCTGATGATATTCTGAACATACAGTTCCTGTGCAGCCACCCACTAGGAGACTGTGGCACAGCCCAGTGGGTGCAGCAGGACAAAGGATAGTAAGTGATGGTCAGCAACAATTCAGAATCATCAGCATATGTTAAGCATAAGTCAATGTGACATAGTCCTTTGTGTTGCTGCACCAGGAATTGTATGTTCAGAATATAATCAAAGTATGTGCAGCACAGCAGATTCTATGGTCAGCTAACATGACTACATGCTGTACTTTAGCATAATATGAACATAGCCTGAACCATCCTATTCTAACACATGTCATGTGTGAGGGTGTACTTGTGATATAATCTCATCGAGCCAGAGACAAAGCAGATTGATGTAACAGTACTTTTATGGTAATCTACCCTTGCCAATGGTGACCATATTAGAATACCTTGACAATTTGTTCACCTTAAGGCACATCTAAATATGCTGATGTTACATCATCTTCACAATTTCCCAGCCCATGTGTACAATGGTTCATGAATACAATGTGCAACAGATGGTCACAATCCCATTCAAACCCCTTCACTGTATTGTGCTGCCACCTGTTATCATCCCAAATAGGATATAATTACACTACAGCACTCTGGCATATCCTTACCAGGTTATACATATCATTACTGTATGTTCAGGATAAGTCAACACATGAGCTAAACCTAGCAGTATCTGTACTGTGACCCTCACAGCACAGTTTGGTGAGCATAATGCTTAGTCAATATCACTCACCTAGATAGGCATCATATTATTGAAAATTGAAGGCTCAGTGGCTTGGTGGTCACAATAACTCAACAATACCATTTGCTTTATTTGGCACAACATTATTGAGGGTTCAGTGCTCATGATACCTCAGTAGGATACCTCAGTAGTATGATTTGCCTAGTCAGGTACCACATTATCAAAGCCAGCATCTGACAAACTATTATCAGACCTTTATCAGCCTAATATGGCACAAAATAGCTTATGTAATTTTACCTGCCTAACATAGGCATAACATGATGTCTTGTTATGCAAATAATACAGAGTGACAGATTTGTCATAGTATCTTCAGCGTAACTTCACGGTAGCTGCCTCGATGTAATTGAAACCGCCAACAGAATAACTTGAGCATAACCCGGGCTGACATATGCTTAAATTCTCTTCCCTATCTCCAGTCAAACTTGTCACTAACTTGAGGCCAGATAGCCTGACCTGCATGCTGTGATAGGGGTTGGCAAGGACGCGGTCAGGCTGGTGCTGCGCCGAGAGATTGCGAGCCATCTCGACGTACCCATCGAAGTTTGAGGGAGGTGGGTAGTGGCTGGAAATCGACCTCCAGAGCTCGGGTCGGATGGTGTTCTTCAATTCGTAGATCTTGTTGCGCTCTTCTGTGACACCCGCACGAGCGAGGAGAGTGATTAGGAGGTTAAGGTAGTCGTTAGTGCCCATCTTTCCTTGTTTGAGGGCGCGCAATGTCGACGTGGCCTGGTCTTGGGCACGGTGAATTGGGAAGGCTTTACGAAGCTCCTTCTTCAACTCATCATAGGTGTTGAACCGTCGTTTCCCTTCAGCAGTGGCCTGTGTGTCGAGAGTCTGGTGGAGGAGGAGCCAGTTGGCCGTCTGTGTCGATTCACGATCAAGGTAGGAGAGGAGGAGGGCGATCTTCTGCGAGTCGGGGACTTTCTCGTATCCTGCGGCGACGAGGTAGTTGTCGATGTCATAGAGGAAGGTCTCAAGCTTAGCCGGGTCTCCTTTGAATCTCCCTGGCTCTTTCACTTTGACCTTCTCGGTAACGGCGGCGCGGGCGTCGCTGCCACCTGAACGGGCTTCCAGCGCCACAATGCGCTGGTCCTTCTCGGCAATCAGATTGTACAGCTGCTGAAGCTGTGCTTGGGTCGCTGATTCCGTCATCTCGGGGTTCAGATAGCAATCAATCTCGGGGCTGATGTCGGTTTCGGTGTGGGTCTGATGCTGCGCCTGCTCAGGCACGTTCTGGGGTGCTGATCCAGAGGTCACAGGGATCTCGGGTTCGTCGGATTCGTCGGACTCGTCGGCTTCGTCCGACTCGTCGGCTTCAATTTCCTTAGACTGTTGGGAGATTGATCGGAGGAGCGATGCGGTCACTTTCGGTTCGGGCTTCGGAAGGTTCGCTTTGGCTTTAGCAAACCGGAGTTCGTCGAGGACAGCTGCAGTGAGGGATGGGTAATCTTTCTGCGGAACGTCCTTGTGGAAGTGGTACCAGTGCCACTCGTTCTTCTCGTCCTGCCGTGGGCGGATCCCAAGGGGAGAGGGTTCGTGGTCGATGTAGAATACTCGGAGGGTAGGATCCCAGAGGAGAGTGCCTTTTAGCGCAGGCAGTCCGTAGATACTGGGTTCGATTTGGCGAAGGTCCGAGGTATCCACCTTGGCGAAACTATCGACCTATCGTCGAGCGGCGTTGTTCACCCTAAGCAATTGGATAGCGGAATGACGCTCGAGGTCTTGAGATGGGATAGCTACACCAGAGGAATGGTGGCAGAGGGTACGTTCGACCTAATGTTACGCGACGGGTAGGAGCGGGACAATGAGGAAGGCGATAGCCAATACGAGAACAAACTTCTACTAAAGACGCTGCCTTTAACAAGGGCTTACTCTCGTCTAGAGTCCGGATCCGTCGGGGCGTTCGAGAGGACTAGCCGTGCTGGCTTCCTCAAAGGCTCCTAGTCGGTCGGGCCTATCCGAGCTTGGTCGTCACCTGCCACTAGGGCGTAGGGGAAGTGGGCAAGCGAAGGGGATAGGATTCAAGAGTTAACCAGGTCGAACGTGAAGTTCGACCGCTACTGTACAACAAGTCTAAATACAAGAGATAACGCGATCAGCGCGGATAGATACGTAAGCAGATCACTGGGGCAGTGTCCGGTAGTGTATGGTACAGATGGCGGCCCGCGGCTACAGGTGGCCGCCCGAGATAGATAATCACCGCACGGGGTGATGAGGATGGTACGAATGATGCAGATCATACTGATGAGATGCGAAAGGACTAACCGTTCCGTAACAATATCCTTCTTTTAACTTTTTGAACACTCACTATGAAATAGTACAAAGAAGTCACAATCCAGGTTCCCTACGGGGATGAGACTCAGGAGTTCAAAGTTTGGAACCGCGATCTCTGGGATTGGGCAATGGATCAGCTGAACGATCCGCGCCTTACACCTCACTGGGTCTTTGACCCCATGCAGTTGTTCAAATGGAATGGTCACAAATGGGTCCGTTTTAGGCATGAACCTTGGACAGCTGACCTTATCTGGGAAGCTCAGGTGTGTATTTAATTTCTCATTACAGAAATATATTATTAATGTCAGAACAGTCTGTGCTCCCAGAGGGTGGTACACCTTTTGCCTTTGTTGTATATGCCGACAAAACAAAGCTCTCAAGCTTTGGTACACAGAAAGGATATCCAGTGATGGCTCGATGTGCCCAGCTTCCCATTGAGATCCGCAATGGAAATGGGATAGGTGGTGGTGCTGTTGTTGGATGGCTTCCAGTGGTGAGTTCTAATTAGGATATGAGTACCATAGGTATTTAAGTCACATATACTGTTTATTAGGTTGATGAAGGTACTGCTGAAGAAGGAAAGAAGGACTTTGTTGACTTCAAGAGGGTTGTCTGGCACAAGGCCTTCTATGAATTTTGCAGAAAAATAGAAGCCCTCTCCAAGACTGGCTACCAGTGTTCCATTCCCAACATTGATAGACTTTTCTTTCCAATCATGTCCATGATTGTGGCTGATTATGAAGAGCAGTATGTCTACTGATGTGTATGTCAAGCTGTGCTAACACATTTTCAGATGTGTCATGGCCTTAATCCGTGGTGGACACCAAAGTCTGTGCAACTGTCCACGCTGCCTTGCAAAGAAAAAGGGCATGGCATCCCTAGGAGAGCCTGTAGTGTGGCGGACCCCAGAGAACACACAAGAGGTCCTTGCTCTAGCCCATACACGACCTGCAGGAGCAAAGGAAGGGCTATTGAAGGATTATGGACTCAGAGATATCCTAGTTTGTTTTTTTTGCTTCTTCATTGCTTATGCTGGTAGCTGATCTGTCATCAGAATGTTTTCTGGAGGTTCATGTACACCAATGTCTACAGGGCCTTGGGCTTTGACAAGCTGCATGGCTATGGGCTGGGCCTTTTTGGAGACCATATATGGCCAGCAATTGTGGCTATAATCAAGATTATGGGGCGGGATGGGATTGCTAAAGTTGATGACCAGTAAGTCCTATGTCTCTCAATGTGCATCACAATTAATGATCACTTGTAGAACAAATGCTTTCCCAGTCTGGAGAAATCTTTGCCACTTCAAGCATGTTGTCAATATCAATTTTAATGATGGCTCAAAGTTTGAAGATTTGTCCAAGGTATGTAGAGGATAGCTGATATATCCACCACTGATGCTGACATATCACAAAGATAACTCCATATGTTGTGCACAATGTCATTGCCACAGAACAAGGCAGTGAAGGTTACCTCCTCCTTGGCCTGCTCAGAAAATATCTGGAGCTGGACATGTACTACTCCTTCACAATCCAAACTGAAGACACTATAGCTGCAATCAGAGGCAAGCTATTTGAATTCTCTGATGCCCTTCAGGTGAGTGTGTAGCTATGGATGTGATATACAATTCTCAACTATGACACAGAAACTGCAAGACAAGACTGGACCAGATGGGAAAAACTGGGACTTTCCCAAGATGCATGCCCACCAACATGGTCCTAAAGATATTGAGGACAAAGGTGCTACTCGCAACTACAACACCAAACCATTTGAGAAGATGCATGGTTCACTCAAGAAGTCATACTTGCGCCGCTCAAATAAGCGTAATGTAGAGTCTCAAGTGAGTTGGATCATTCATCTATGAATTCACATTAACAGGGTTAAATAGATCCTCACAGCAGAACATGATCTTGCTGTGATGCAGATTATGCGGGCAAACATTGAAGATTATGATGCATACAAGAATGAGGAGGAGGAGGATGAAGAATATGATGCTGACAATAAACCAATTATCAAGAAAAAGGGTCCATCATCCAGGCTCAGCTTTGACAAGAGGATTTTTCTTGGAGCACCAGAGAAGCCTATCACTATTGCTGAATTGGCTACATCAGATTCAGTTGCCAAAGATCTGCATCTCCAGCTCAATGATCTCCTGGAACATGTGGGCCCCAAGTCTAAAGATGGGGAGAACATAAAGGTTGGGCCTCATGATCAGGTCTGTATATGTCTACTACTCATCATTTGATACTCATGAGGACATCACAGATTGTGGAGTATCGTTTCCTCAAGGTCAACTATCAGTCTGAAGAAACATGGAAGCAAGATTTCGACTTACTGCGGTGCACTCCATCGTGGTTTGGGAAGGAAAGACGAGACCACATCCTCCTCAATACCGAAGATGGCCACATCTTTGCCCGCCTGATGCTCATTTTCACCTACTCTGTGGATGGAATCGAGCACCCATTCATCGTCGTCAGGCCACTTGATGGTGCAGTCGAGCCTGAGGACCGGGACAAGGATCTAGGGTTTTATAGGGTTCGGCAAAGTGAATATGACCTGGAGGTACATCCTGCTCAGTCTATCATACGCGGAGCATTGATCATACGAGATCACGATAACATTGGAGATCACTTTGCAGTAGACATTGACCCGGACATGTTTTGTAGGCTGAATACGTTCCGCGCACGTCAATTCCTATGATACGTTGTCCACGGTACCAATTGCGATGTATGTAGTATGGCGTGTAGTGCAGTCCAATCAACACCGTCTGTTCGAGCAAAACACTGCCAGACACATACCTGCAAATATTCTTCCCAATAGCCGGCCTGCATCTGGTATAGGCGTCGGACACACGGCATGACACAACTAAGAGACCGATCGCGATGGCGTGAGGCTGATCGTTCAAGATCGACAGACTCCGCTCTTCAAGGCGAAGACTGTGAATCGCAGCGGCGCATACGGTTAAGGTACGGGACGGCAGGGTTGAGGAGCGGAACTGCGTCCAGGCCGTTCCGGCGCGCTGGTCTGCGAGCTCTGCGTGTACCCGCCGGACGAGTGGCCGTAGAGCTGGTTTTGCGACGAGACGAGCAAGCTCGAGCATCCCGACAGTCCGATGCTTGAGGTTCATCGACATACCCATCCCGTAGCCTGAGCTCCCATGCGAAGAGTGCCAGTGGCTCAAGCCACTCGAACCATAACCCATCCGCGAGTGGCTCGTGGAGTACCCTCCATCAAGCGCATACGGGCTGCTACCGTGGCCATGGTGACCAGGTTTCCGGGCGTCGAATTGGGCCGTACAATGCCTCCTACGGACCAGTCCGACTCCGAGTCGGAGGAGATCGACGACGAGAGCCCGGACGAGCGCGAGTAGTCCGTCTGGAGTGGCGAGAAGTTGTAGGACGAGCTCGAGCCCGACTGAGAGAGGCCGGAGGCAGGGTAATCGTAGAAGGCGGACGAGCGAGTGCTGTCTACGCTATCTGAGTTGGGAAATTGGTACGACACGAGACCGGACGGGGACTGGCTCGGGCGGTGCCCCGGCGGCGGGAGGCGGAGACGCAACACGGGGTTGTCTGAGTAGAGGGTCGGGAGCGAGGCGCACCGTTCGTAGTTGTCCTGGAAGGTGAACGCGAGCGACGGGAGCTGGACGCGTGCGGTGTCTACGCCGGAGCGCTCTTCAGGCTCTGTGGGCGGGTGTGGCGAGGGCGTGTTCGGATTTGACCACGCGTTGGGGTCGAGCGAGATGTCTGGGCAGGACCTCTTGGGAAGCGGCAAGCCGGTGGGCGATGGACCGCGCTTTTCTGGGCGCGACTGGAGGCTGCTGTCAGAGGTGGCGGACGTGGACATGCGGCGTGCGTCGTAGTCTTGAGCGGTGCTGGAGCAGAGAGAAGGAGGATCAGCAGGGGACATGGAAGGAGAGATAGACACGGACAAGAGGAGCGACGCGGAGGGGACAGCGTGGGCGTCGGGGAGGGCGTCGAGGGTGAGGGATTTGCCGTCTTCGCTGGTGGAAGCCGCCGTCAGAAATGGCCGGCGCGCTCATGTGAGGATTGGGGCCAAAAATTGCAGAGGCGCATACTTACCGAGCGTTGAGTGAGCAAACAATACGAGTGCATGAGGAAAGAAGGTGAACACTGAGACTCAAACTTGAGCGTGCCGACTCGGTCGCAGGCGCTTGTGCGATCTTCCTCGCCGCCGACTCGACCACTCAATAATACAGTTACTCACTGCTAACCTTACACATCTCACCCTCGTCATCTTCCTCATCTCGCCCTTCCGACGTCCACTTTTTTCTCTCGATCTGTCGGCACACAAGACTTCCACTACTCTCAGCGGATCGCCTTCTCGGTCATGGCAAAATCGCGACCCTCCTTTGCGCGCCGACGGAGGCTTGGTCCCTACTCGTATCGCGGACTGTTCTTCTAGAGACAGGCATCGCCCCGCTCGCGAATGGCAGCACAAAGCTCAAATCGGGAAAGCACCGGAGGAAGGCGGGGGCGGTACAGAGGTCCTCGAGCAACCAAGCTTGAAGTGGAAGACTGTCGAGACCGGAGATGGAGTCTACGGCGGGAGACTAGTCTGCACATGAACACGATTCGTACGCTCTCCCTCTGTATATCCGCGGACTGTTACGATTGCATAGCTGAATCATTCATCTAGCATCTACCCACACTTGTCCACGAACGCGCTCCACGGGCTGCAATACGACCTGACCACCCTCATGCGCCAAACACTCTCCCACCCGACTCTCCATCTCAACGACCTCCAGGTTCCTCTCGCTCGTGGCTTCTGAGCCTTGATCTTGACGTACTCGCTGACGCGGGCAACGTCGTGGACGCGCTGTTCATGGCTGCGCGTGCTGCAGCGGCACTACGGGATACGAAGGTACCTCAGGCTCGGACGCGGCCCTTGCAATATCAGTCAAGAAAGTCAGGCGATACATTGAAGAACGCAGACACAATGGACTCGGAGGTGGAGGGCTTGCTGGAGATTACGAGCGCGTTTGATACGCGTCGGACATGGCGGCGGTCTCGTCCTTGCGCTCGTCGCGCTCACCGAGTCCCTCATCTCAGGCCCGCCTCGCGTGCTAGAGCCTCGTCATCAGCCCGGCCGACGTCCACCATACTCTCGTCGGCTTCGCGCTCGCGTTCACATGGCTCTATGCGGCGTCCGCCCGATCACCGCGCCTTCCGCGACCCCGCCCGTCGACCTCTCTCTTACACGCTCCAGCTCATGATGAGCGTCCTCGCGTTCGGCGGCGTTCCCTTCGGCTCGAGCGTGCGCGGCTGACCGTATTCTGCGCCGTGGGTGCTCGCGGGGCATATTGCGAGGGCCGCTGCGCACTTCGAACTTCCGGACTACTGAGAAGAGGGCGAGTCCTGGACGGAAGAGGCAGATGGGATGTGCGTAACAGGTGCGTATATCCCCAGACGATTAAAGCTCTCTGTTGATGTATATGACCGCCGGGATAGCTACCTCCTTCACTTCTTCTCGACGCGTCGCTGCCGGAAGAGGTTTCGGCACCCCATGATCAGGCTCTTGCTTCCCAGTTGGCCAGAAGACGCGGTTGAGCAGAATCTGGCTACACAGCCTGTTCTGCCCCCGTTGAAATACCGATCGCTCCTGCAGGGTTACCTGCAGTCGAGCTGTCGGTGCTAGCCTACAGACAGACAACCTCGCTCGTACAAGACCATTCAGCAAATCCGCCCATACCAAGAATGATCCACAGCACCTGGACTCTGATTTGCTCTGCAATCAGTCACTCCCACAGCTGATTTTCACGCGCTGACCAAACATCGCTGTAGGACACTGCCATCCTACCCCGATGCTACTCCAGAGCTTAGTGCTGATACATGCGTTGGGCTCTGCCCGGGTGACCGTATCCACAATCTCCGCGAGTATGTATCACTGCACAGGTCGTTCTACAGCCGTCGATTCCAGCGCCACGTGCACGAGAGCGAGGATGCCTTCAAGGCAGCGGGAGAGGGGCAGAATGTCGAGAGAGGACACAAGGGTGCGATGAAGTTGCAGATGCTAGAGAAGGAGGAGGAAAGGGTGTGGAAGGCGATTGAGGAGAAAGAGAAGCAGGCTCGGGAGGATGGTTAGGCGAAGATGGACCTCGACAAGACGCCGCCCCATGCGGAGATTCAAGAAGCTGCGAAAGAGCTCGCGGGCACGAAGCGCAAGCGGCGTTGGGGTGTCGAGACTGAGGTGAAGGAGAACAAGGCCGAGGTGAAGGGTGGTGAGTGGCCCAAGGAAGCTTTCGAGGAGGCTGCGCCTAAGAAGCGGAGGTCTCGATGGGACACTACGCCAGCGAACGTCAATGCTGCGGGCGAGACACCGAAGACGTCGCGCTGGGACCTGGCTCCCGCCGCTGCGCCCGACACCCCGATGCAACCCATTATCATGAACGCGCCCGGCTTCATGCACGAGGACAAGCACAACCGCTACCTCACGGACGAAGAACTCGAAGCCATTCTCCCTGCGGCTGGCTACACTATCGTCACCCCGCCGCCGGGCTATGCGCCTTTGGTCCGCCCACCCAAGTTCGCCACTCCCACCTCGGATGTCGGCGGCTTCCAAATTCAAGAGAGCTCGGATGCAGCGGCGGCGGCGGCGGCAGCAGGTCTTGCGCCCGAACTACCGACCGAGATTCCTGGCGTAGGCAGCCTCGCATTCTTCAAGGCCGAGGATGCGCAGTACTTCGCCAAGATCCTCAAGGAGGAGGATGAGACAGAGCTGTCCGTGGACGAAATGAAGGAGCGCAAGATCATGCGGCTCCTGCTCAAAATCAAGAACGGTACGCCTCCCGTTCGTAAAACAGCCTTGCGACAGATCACCGACAAGGCGCGCGAGTTCGGCGCCGGCCCGTTGTTCGACAAGATCTTGCCGCTGCTCATGGAGCGTACGCTCGAGGACCAGGAGCGTCACTTGCTCGTGAAGGTTATCGACCGGGTGTTATACAAGCTCGACGACCTCGTCCGGCCATATGTCCACAAGATTCTCGTCGTCATAGAGCCTCTGCTCATCGACAAGGACTACTACGCTCGTGTCGAAGGTCGTGAGATTATCTCCAACCTTTCGAAGGCTGCCTGTCTCGCGCATATGATCTCTACCATGCGCCCGGATATCGACCATGCCGATGAATACGTGCGTAACACCACCGCGCGTGCGTTCTCCGTCGTCGCCTCCGCTCTCGGCATTCCCTCCCTTCTACCCTTCCTCAAGGCTGTCTGCAGGAGTAAGAAGTTCTGGCAGGCGCGCCACACCGGTATCCGTATCGTCCAGCAGATTGCGATCATGATGGGGTGCGCCGTCCTCCCTCATCTGCGCAACCTCGTCGACTGTATCGCGCACGGTCTTCAGGATGAGCAGCAGAAGGTCCGGACGATGACTGCGCTCGGCCTTGCCGCACTCGCCGAGGCAGCTGCGCCATACGGTATCGAGTCCTTCGACAACGTCCTTAAGCCGCTTTGGGTCGGTATCCGTCTCCACCGTGGCAAGTCGCTCGCTGCCTTCCTGAAGGCCATCGGCTTTATTCTGCCCCCTGATGGATCCCGAGTACGTGTCGTACTACATCAAGGAAGTCACCATCATCCTCATTCGTGACTTCCAAACGTCCGACGAGGAGATGAAGAAGATCGTGCTCAAGGTTGTCCAGCAGTGCGCCGCGACGGAGGGTGTCACGCCGCAGTATATCAAGCAAGATATTCTACCCGACTTCTTCAAGGCCTTCTGGGTGCGGCGGATGGCGCTCGACAGGAGGAACTACAGGCAGGTTGTGGAGACGACCGTCGAGTTGGCGCAGAAGTCCGGCGTCGCGGAGATTGTCGGCAGGATCGTCAACGAGCTCAAGGACGAGGCGGAGCCATACCGCAAGATGGTCATGAAGACGATCACGAAGGTCGTCGCGTCCCTCGGCACATCCGACATCGACGAGCGTCTTGAGGTACGGCTCGTCGACGGTATCATCTACGCCTTCCAAGAGCAGACGACCGAGGACCAGGTCATGCTGGATGGTTTCAGTACCATCGTCAACGCTCTCGGCATCCGTGTCAAGCCATACCTCACGCAGATCGTCTCTACCATCCTCTGGCGTCTCAACAACAAGAGTGCGAAGGTCCGTCAGCAAGCTGCGGACCTCACGACTCGCCTTGCTGTCGTCATCAAGCAATGCGGCGAGGACCAGCTCCTCAACAAGCTTGGCTTGGTGCTCTTTGAGCAGCTCGGTGAAGAATATCCCGATACGCTGGGTAGTATCATCGCTGCAGAGGGTGCCATCGCGAACGTTGTCGGTATGACGCAGATGAATCCGCCAGTCAAGGATCTCCGTGAGTGTTTTAACTTGAAGTTGTGCCTGATAAGCGCACTGACCTCGATCTTTGCAGTCCCTCGGATGATCCCTATTCTTCGTAACCGTCACGAGAAGGTGCAAGAAGCCACAATTAACTTGATCGGTCGTATAGGTACGCAGTCCGTCTACGTTCTCTTGCTCATGTTACTGATCGTTCTTTCCAGCCGATTGTGGCGCTGAGTTCGTGCCTGCTCGTGAATGGATGCGGATCTGTTTCGAGTTGCTTGACCTCCTCCATCAGGAAAAACCGTGCCTACATAAGGTCTCATCAGAGGTCATTTACAAGACATCTTAGGAACGTATAGGACACAAAAGACATAAAATGCTACATAAGACCAAAACATGGCACTTAAGACAAGTCCCCGTCTTATTGTGTCTTTGATATTATGCATAAGAGCACTAATGTACGCAATAAAGACATCTTGTGTCTTATTCAGTCTTAATTGTGTTGTCATTTTGGTCTTTAGTTGCCCTTATTTCACCTACAATATGTACTTCAGTGGGCGTGCTGAAGTACAGTTATGTACAGAATTAAGTCTGCTGATGTCCACTTATGCACATGTACCAGATCACATCATAAATATTAGCAGTGCGGGTTGTTGTACAACATATACAGACACATAACTACTGGTATAGCACGATCAACAGATAGGCATAGACTCGAGGTCAGACTTCGCCGGGATGACGACCACGGCTGAGACAGGCAAATAGTAGTAGAGGGGGAGTGGGATACGTAGCAGGCACGCACGTCTGATGTGTAGTAGTACAGAGGATGATAGATATAGTAGCTGCAGGATTGTCGTATGAGTAAGTGTAGATAGAGGTGGTATGGGCATAGAAACACTTGCCTTGGAAATGGGCCGATTCTACTGCTCCTGCCACGCGAAACAGACAAAGTTGATGACGTTCACGGCTTTGATGCGACAGGACAACTACGACATCTTGGTGATGTACCTCTCGCAGTGAGATACAAAGAAACCACTGGACACTGACTGACTTACCACTCATTGCCGAGTTCATCGACCTCACGCTCGCTGCTGGAAGTTTGCTCCTGGGCCTTCTTCGCGCCGGACTTCGATCGCGACGGACGTGACGGTCCACTCTCTGCGTTCGCTGCATCCTTCGATGATCCAGCTGCAGTCTTGGACGCCGCAGGAGTCTTTGCCTTGCTGCCTGATGCCACGGCTGGCAAGGTGACGTTCAGCTGGTCGAGGTCGATAGCCGCACCGCCCACACGTTCCCCATCTTCTTCCTCCTCCTGGTTCTCCTCCACAGCGTCCATATCACCATCCTCATCCCCTTGCATCTTCGACCTACGTCCCTAGTGAGCAAACCAAGCCATATTGATTGCGAGAAGTTACCTTATATACGACCAGATTAGTGACTGCGTCTCCTGAAGGTACGGCTTGTTATTCATGTACTCCAGTGCACTCATCAGGCTGTCCCATCTTGAATTGCGCCCAACATTTAGTATAGATACCACAAGGTAAGCTGACTTACTTCTTGGCGTAGACCGAGTTCGCAAATTTCAGGTTCACTTCGTTGTCTTCTTCCACCTGCGCGGCGACGTCAGCCAATGCTCCCTCTATCTACACAAGTGCAATGACGTCAGTTGGTTTTGTGCGTGGATTGGAATAGGGCTTACGGCGGTGCACACTAGTGCGATGAGGTTCAGAGGCACCTTCTTGAAGTCTACCATCGCCGCCTTGATGCACGCACCCTCACGTTTGGCGGGCCCCCAGTACAGGTAGATCAGCTCTTGGATTGCCGGGTGCCTGAAAGGTAGCAAGCGGTTGTACTTGCTCATGATGTAATTCATGATCAGTGCTTCCTTCCGTAGTATAGCTAAGGCATTGTACTCACACTCTTCTCCACGGACGAGCCCTGTTCCTTCCCAAGGTTGTGTTCTATCTCCCCGAAGATGAAACGAGGAAGCAAAGCCGTTCGATTGCCCATCTTCACGCTGACCTTGCCGATCAGCCACAACGCAATTGGCCTCCTGTCATCAAGAGAGTATAGGTGAGGGCTCAGGTCGTAAGCCTTCTGGATCACCTGGGACGCCTTCCCCTTGAGCTCGTTTCGAGTTTGAGATAACGCGCGCACGATCTCCGCTATATCAGCTCATGCCAACGCATCAGAAGATCTGTTTGCTTACCAGTTTGTGCATGTCCTGCCTATGACGCTCTCTCTGGCTGTTGTCCTTGCCCTTCCGATCCTGCAACATCCTCCAGGAATCCCGCACCTTCTTGTCGCCTTTCTCATATGCATCTTGAACGCTCGCCTTGATGAGATCATCCACGCTGGGCAGCCGCTTGGAGACGACTGACGGCTCCTTCGTCCAGGCGGACTTCAGAGTGGTGCGGAGGCGCAGCGCATCTTGTGCTGCATGGAAAAGTGGAACAAGCCATGTTGGCAAGTCTGACACCCTGAGGCGCGCGCCCTTGGCCCCACCGGTGCGATACGCCTTGGGACGAGCACCCTTGCCCTTGCGCCTGGAGTCAGACAAGACCTGTAAAGTGTGAGAGATGTCTGCATCATTCAATATGATTGCAGAGATGATTGACACTGACGATCATCCCATCGTCGTCGCTCTGTCCCTCTTCTGCGTGGTCTGTCTCCTCTTCATCCTCCTCATCTCTGTCGTCTTCATACGCCTCTCCTTCCTCTTGATCATCATCCGTGCTGCTGTCGGCCTGATCTGAGTCATCGGATGGTTTGTCATGTGGGCGTGCAGCCGTGCGCTTGGCCTTGTCAGAATTCTTGCGACTATCGTCGCTGGCGGCCGGGGATTTGCTACGCTCGTCATCCGAGTTGTTGTTGGCGCGATTCTTACCCTTGTCCTGCTTCTTCGTGAACGTCACTATGAGTCATGTCACCAAGAGCAAATTACGGAACAGGGTGCGAACCCTTGCAGCCGCATCTGTCGCTCGTGAGGGGGTGTTGACCGACTTGCTCGGAGGAGCCCGAGCGTCCTGTTCTTTTCGTCCGCCGCCTAGCAGGTGGTCATAGTTTGATGTATGCACGATGGCCAAAGGACTTACCCAATGTTCGTGCCAGGTCCTCCTCGTCCGCGTCTAGCGTAGGCGCAGGTTCTGCATGTTGGCCGTACTTCCGCTTTGGCATAGCTAGAGCAGCGTGGTGTTGTGAGTTTCATGTGCCAATGTATATGAATCACATACGCCGTGGCTTCTTGGGCTGCTCGCCCTCGCTGTCAGCCGTCTGGTCTTGCATCACCACGTCAGCTACCTTGTTGCCTTGCGCCGTGTCATTGGCAGGCTCGTCCTCCTCCTGTGCGTTGTCGTTGCGCGAGCGCGACTTCTTCTTCTGGGGCCTTACGTCCTCTTCATCGTGCGATGCTTCATCTTCCTCCATCATCTTTGATTTTCTCTTGCGTATCTCTGACACGCACAGCAAAGTGAAGTTGATTAGTGTGTGTTGGAGTAGACAAGGGCACGTACTATCCGTTCGTTCCTCCTTCTCCCTCTGCTTCTCCTGAGCTTTCTGACTTTTCTTCTTAGCTGCGGCGGACGATGTTGCAGCCGCCTTTACCACTTTCTGCTTGTCCTTAGTACCCTTCGAGGCTGTGCTTCGCTGGCCTGCAGGATTCTCTGCTTGTTTCGAGGCAGCTGATCGGGTCATACGTCTGTCCATTTGGGTTGTACGATTTGACCAGGGCGATAGAGTTAAGGCGAGATGATACTCACCGCGAAATGAAACGGAGACCACTCGAGATAATCGAGGGTTCGATTACACACGGTTCAATATGTACCGCCGAGGTAAGCGCCAAATCCGATGAATATATAATATGTCATTCTAAGAGCGTACAAGACATGTGCCACGTCAAACAAAATGTACGTTGTGAGACCATCCATTCCGTTCCTTCAACCACTTAGCCATCTCTCGGTCCGTGTTGAGTACAATAGAACTTCTCTTTCCCTTGTAGTGTAGGTTGAAGTGCGTCAGATCACAGGAAGGGAATAAAATGAAGTCGCCGTTCCATAGAGGTACAATGAGTCCGGGCTCGTAGAGAACGAGTTCACCGCCTTCAAAGTCACCGATGGCAAGGACAAGGCAAATACCGTCGTCCTTGCCGTCTCTGTGTGCTGCCGTGGTGACATTCATATTGACGACCAATCCTAGGAAAGGAGAGGCGAGCGGTCGGTTGTTTCCAGGCAACACCCTGACGTAGGCTTCAAGGTGGTCGTATACATCTGGTGCAATCTCTTGAATCTGAAAGTGCCGGGTACATCTCAGCATTACTAACTCCTTAATGGTTAAGCAACTCACCTTTAAATCCAACCAGTCGAACAGAGGGGCCAGAATTTGTTTCATGGACTGGTAGATCGATTGGTTGGTCGAGTTCGTCATATCCTTGGATGGGTACGGTATGAACTGGTGGTAGTTAGTCTTGAGACCGCCGGTTCTCTTGAGGTTGCTAGGTGGTACGTCATCTGGTGAGCCCTCTCCCTGTATATGAGTGAGTTAGCTGCTTTCCCAGTCCAAAGGCAATGCACTGACCGTCGTACAATGGCGATTATACCATGTGAAGTGCAGCACTTTGAAGACGTGGCTGCCGCCACTCTGCGCTGTGTCCAATGTCTGTATGACATCCGGTTCGAGGCAGGCGGCCAGGCGTCCAAGAAGGTCGGTTCGTAGGCTCTCTGGCATCGACGTGCATATGGTCGCAAGAATGGTGGAGCTTTGAGATTGTACTGTTAGAACATCCCTAAGTGCTTGTGAGAAGCCATTCACAGAGTGAAGTAGCGGTGTATCTCACTTGACGAGGTCGCGTTTGATCTTCACATAGCCGTTCTGAGTGGGACGAACACCGTCCACATAAATCGATTTCAACTAGCATACATGAGTCAGAAACGATGGGCACAGGAGTACGTCACTCACCAATGATTCCAGTTCCTCGAGAGTTGCTGGTTCGGTGGCCTTGCTAGCTAGTTCGCGTTGGTTCTGCGTCCAACGTGCGTTTTTATCTCTGTTTCTGGGTGGCGAGAATCGTTTGTTGTGCTCATGGTCGGGATCGAAGCTGGATATTATGGTAGATATTGAGGAGCTTGGAACCATGCTCGCACCGCATGTCATGTTCACTGAATATAGGTTGACTGGCGGGGTGATCGTGGAAGGGCCTGGAACCGCGCTTGTAAGGTTGAGAGGCTGCGTAGGCATTGAACAGCGGGGAGAGGCTGATCGACCTGTAGGGCTGAGACTCGCCAACCGAGACAATGGTGTCAACGGGGACAACGCCATAAGTGAGTCATTGCCTAGGTTTGTAGCTGCGACTGAAGAGTCGAATGCAACCCATGCATCTTTGTCTCGAGGTATGCCAGCAAAGGAACTGTCCGGTATTTGCTCTCAATTGTAAAAAACACACAGATACTAAGAATCTACACTCACTTTTGTGGGAGACGGGTGAACAAAGAATCCGTGGCTGCCAAATCGTTGCAGGGGCAATGAGGATGGATGCCCAGTGCGAGCAGAATATCTTCAGCAAAGAGGTCGCCGAACTTCATGGGACAGTGATCTTTCAGGTAAACTACGATTGGCACTATGGTCTGTTGGACCAGCCGTCCAAGGGGCGTTTCTGCGCTTGAACGTTAATATGCCACAGGTTAGTCAGTGAACAACTGACCGGCATTGGAGCGCCTCAGTATGTGTGCAACATCGGAAGCCAATGTACCGTCAGCCTCGACAAATGGCACTCTGAGGGTCGTGAACCCCATCCAGAGAAGCATGTAGATTGATCCTGTGCAATTGTCCGTCTCAACGCCGACAACATATGACGCGCATAGACGCACCGCCCTCTGCTAGCTTCGCAAGCTTACTTCCTATTTTATACCACTTCTGCAGCGTGCGTTCGCTGGGTCCCTTTGGTAGCTTCGAGAGATGCTCTCGCCACAGGGCAGCGATGTTCACGTCCGACCAGCCTGACATACTGAACTTCCAATAATCAATGGTTCTTATGTTTTAAAGATGAGCGAATCTTGCTTACCTTGCGCATTTGAAGGCCAAGCGTAGGTACAATACCATAGTGTGGAACTCGATAACGTTTCTTCTGTCGTCTATCTGGTTACATCTGTTCACCAGATCGACCAGCGTATCACTGCGTCCAGCGAGCGACATGGCGCCAGGAGATGACCAGAGGGCTGAATAGTAACGTAGAGCATCGTCCCTCACGTCATAGGCTGCCAGTGTATACAGAAAGTTCTCCATTGTTGTGCTCGTCCCTTGGTGTGGTTGCGCCATCATCTCCCAGGCGGCATGCGGCTGACTGCGACTTGCAATGTATTGAGTCCCGCTTCTGGGACAAGGCCGCGGAGGTTGAGGATCATGCCCGCCTTGTTGCTCTTTACCACCGCCAGGGTACGGTGCGTTGGCCAGCTTCCGCCGCTGTCGTGATGCTTTTTGTGCACGAACTGGCCCAGTCGCACTCAGGCTGTTGGGACGCTCCCTGTCATTGGAATTACTGCCATTGTGAGGCAACGAGGGTGTCGATCCTGCTAATCAAGTGGTTGAATGGTCAGCTTTTGTACAAGAGGTAGGTATGTAATACTTTCACCTGTACTAGGTTGTGTAGAGTCCGACGGTTGCATGGACACATAGTCCTCGGCGCACCGCCCCGTAGACTGGTCTGAAGCGTCTTCATTGTTGTGCTTCAGTCTCCCCAGTAAAGCTGTCAACGTTGGGCTGAGTGTATCAGCTTGTGAGAGGTATGTTTCCAGTTCCAAAACCTCAGCATTGCTCAAGTACACCATGTTTGAGGATGAGTAGTGACAGTTCTCCTGTCACGGTCGTCCAATGTTCCTGTAACGACTCGATATCACACCGGGAGGATGCGTTGTACCCAATCTCTATTCGGTAGAGAAGTATACAGGAGGGCATCCAAGTAGGCAATGATAATGAGTAGTCTAGCGTATAGTAAGCGTGCTGGCGCGCCATACGAGGCATGAGACAAACAGAACCAAACATGTGAGATAAGATAGTCCATATCGGGCAGGTCTTACTGACCCCCCATTTAGGCCCGTTACACTCTCCCCCACTGGACACGACCACGGTCCCAATGAAAGACAGTGCAGAGATCATACTGTGCGCTGGACAGAGATCCTCATGTCAGGCCGGGTAGGATGTGTTGCATTCCGGGTTACAGACTACAACTTATCCATGTAGAATTCACTGGGTCTCAGTGAAAGAGCTACATCCCATGTTTGACCTGACATGGAGTGTCATTTTCGTGGACAACAGCAGCAGTTGTACAGAACATGATCTCCTAGGCTGTACATGTTCAACTGTCTGTAGTTGGACATGCTACAATACATAGAATGAGAAAGTAAACGGAACATATCATAGATAGCACCAGCACGTTACATGACTGCACCTGGACGAGCAACAAGTCCAGGATAACAGCGAAGTCTCTAGAAATCGGACTACTACTCTGAGTAGTAATCGTCCTCATAGCTGTCATCGTTATCATAGTCATCTGCAGAATATGCAGATGGACTAGAGGCATACGAGTCTGCAGATAGATCATGAACGTCAGACTCTGACTCGTAGTAGTCCTCGACTACTACAGAATCAGTCGTGTAGTCCTGATGACCCAAGTGGTCAGACAAGCTCTCTGAATGTTCAGAGAGCTCTCGCTCATCATTTGCGTGGTCTGAAGATGACGAGACTACGTCGTCATCTGACCAGCCACCCGCAGTAGCTCGCACTGCTGGTTGAGCATAGCAGCTGGGTGACGAGCTAGCATGAGATCGAGCATGTACTCGTTCCGGGCCCAGTACATCGTGCAGCGGTGTACTGGTACTCGTACGAGATCGACGGTGACCGAACACGCCATTCGATGTGCTGGTTCCCGACACAGTTCCTGTATGTGCGTACGCAGCCGTGGTGCCAGACAAACGTCTCCGTTTGCCTGGTACTGCGGACCCCGTCGGCGTTGAGGTTTCCCGAACCTTGGCACACGTCGAGCTGCTGGGCTCAACGGGCGGCGATCGTTCTCGTTCGCTCGACTTTGCGTGCATGTTCCCAGATGGCGCCGTCACCGTTGACGATGCCCGGCGAGTCTTCTTCAACGAGGTGGCCATATCCCACAGCTTCCGGTCCAGTCGCTGCTGCATCGCCTCGAGCCTCAGGCGTGACTCCTCTTCGCGCTGGTGCAACTCTTCCTGCTGTTGCTTGTCCCGGCATCGCTGCTGCTCCTTCCAGTCAGTCATCACCTGCTCGAACCGTTGGGCCGCGGACGGAACATTGCGTACGTGCAATGTTGCTCGTTCGTGCGTACGGCGAGCAGGAGGCACATAGCGTCCAACGGCGGGATGCGCGGCGGACCTGTTGGGTGTGCTGCTACGCGCGCTGGTCCTGCTGCCGGTACTGCAGGTAGCATCCACGACGAGCGGCGAGCTCGTCGTGCTACGCATTGACGATCGCAGCGGAGCGGTGATTCTTGACGAAGTTGATATGCCCGCGGCCATGCCGCACCCTTCCCCCTCCTCCATCTTCGCAGGCTGAGCTACCATGCTGTCGGAGGTGGTAGGAACCGTGGCGAGTACGCTGGAGCGTACATCGCGCACGTCGTGGTTGTTCTCAGCAGCCACGCCCGTCGGGTCTTGATGCATACCAAGCACGGCGTTGCGCACATTGGCAACGTGTATGTTGGACGTGCCGCGCTGCGCGTCCGCCGTGCTGCCGAGCAAGACGGCAGGTACGACCTTTAGGTCGTCCCAGTGCACACCCTTGCGATATTCACATTCACCAGGACGCACCACGAGCTGCATGCTCGTCGATGCGCCTGTTGACGCGGTCACCTGGAGAGGCGATAGCGGCGGCGATGTACGAGGTACGTCCGGCTGCTCTGCCAGCTTAACCAGGGAAGGTTCAGCTGCACTGGAGCAGCGGAGGGCTTGCACTTCCGTGGGGACGTGCGGGCCGCATCTTGTCGCGTCCAACTGGATGCGGGGCACGTCTGACGTGCGAGCGTGCGCGTCCTCCGTATTGCCACGCATGGTAGCCGGTACGACCTTCGAGTCGTCCCGGCGTATGTGTGTGCGAGGGTTGTGGCTGGCAGCGCGTACGACGAACTCGCCGTTCGTCGATACGCCTGCTGGCGCGGGCACTGTGGGAGGCGGCAGCGGCGGCGGTGAGGGAGGTACGTCCGGAAAGGGCGTACCTATTATCTTCGAGCCCTCGTGCTCGTCCTGCCTATTCATCCTGCATCCTTCCTCTCCCTCACTCTTCGTGCTCTCCTCTCCACCTCCTCGCTGCGCGTCACTCACGCCCTGCGCCACTCCTCCTCGCCCTGTGCTCGGCGCGTCCTTGATGCTCGGCACTGGACCTGCGCACGCGTCGTGCGAGTCCCGAGCCGCGCGACCGGTTTGCGTGTCGCCCAGGCCGCGAACTTCTGATCCTGAGGTGCCAGGCTCGAAAGGGAGGCCGCTCAGGTGCAGTGGAAAGGCGCGGGGACTGGAGGGTACCGCCGGGGAGTAAAGGACGGGCGGTTTTGTACCGCGAGTCGCCGAGCCCGCGTCGCTGGATTCCCCTAGCTCGCCAGACGGCGGGTGCTCGTGGTGGCCATCCAGAAGGCGGTCGTTGGCACCGTGTGCGTCGAGCGGCGGGCTAGACGTACGCGTGGCGCGACGGGCAGTCGCGGTTGGACTGCGCACGTCAGGCGTGCCGCACTGCGCATTTGCCGTGCCGTCGTGCCGGACGGAGGGTACATCCTTGAGGTCGTCCCGGGGCGCGTCCATACCAGAGATGTGATGCACGTCGGACGTGCAGCTGCGCGCGTCCGCCGTGTCACCACGCATTGTGCCAGCCGGTACGATCTTCGAGTCGTCCCGGCTCGGGTGTGTGCGAGGGTCGTGGCCGGCAGCGCGTACGACAAACTCGCCGTTCGTCGATACGTCTGCGGGCGCGGGCACTGTGGAAGGCGGCAGCGGCGGCGAGGGAGGCACGTCCGTCGAGGGCGTACCTTTATACCTCGAGCCGTCGTGCTCGCGCTTGCTCTCCCCGTCGCGGCCTTCCTCCTCATCCCTCTTCATCTGCTCCCAGACTTTCCCTTCCTTCTCCTTCACCTCGGCGTCTCTTCCCGCTTGCTCTTCGTCTGCCGTGTCTCCATCGACCCTGTCGCTCGGCGCTGGACTTGCGCGCGTGTCGCGTGAGTCCTGGGCCGCGCGGCCGGTTTGCGTGTCGCCAGGGCCGCAAAGATTTGGTATGGGGGTGCCAGACTCGAGCGGGGAGTCCCTCGAGTCGAGATGCGGAACACGAGGAGGGAGAGGTGAAGCCGGGGAGGAAGGGCCAAGCGGTCTTGTACCGCGAGTCTCCGGGTCGCCAGGCGCTGCTAGCTGAACAGGCAGTTCAGCTAGCCAGTGGCAGATCCGAACTCGCGCGTCCGTTGGAACAGCGCGAGCGTCTTGGCGTGCGATCGGCCGGGTGAAGTGGTGGCTGACCGGATGGTCGAGGTCAAGGACGGGGTCGAGGACGTGGTGGCTATCGAAGGCCGCGCGTCGGGCGCTACCGCTCGGAGCGCTCGCCCTCGACGCGGGCTCGTGATGCTCGACGCCCGGAGGGTCGAGCGCGTCGTCGGCCACGCTGAACGCGTCGTTGGGCGCAAGTGAAATATATTTCATGTCGCGGCTCGGTTCCGAGCACACGACGTTCGTTTCTGCAAGCTCCGGCTCAGTCTTGCGGTACACAACATAAGGTTGTGTACCGATACCCTCCCGAGCATGAACATGAATCGGCGGAACACGCCGCTCGTTCATCCCGGACGCGGGTGCGACTGCGGCGGCGTCATTGAGCTCGGCGCATGCACCACTCTTCGGAGTGGTGCGCGGCTTCGCTGCTGGAACTGGGGCAGCCCGGGATTGGTCCTCCGGTTGGCTCTGAGCAGACTCGGCGGTGGGCTCGGGTTGCTCAGGGTGCGGTGCGCGTTCGACCTCGCAGTCGGATGGCGTCTGCTCCGTAGATGCTCTGGCTGAGTTCTCCTGGTCGGAGGACTCAGTCCGGGCGGTGTGCGTGCGCGAGGAGCGGCTGCGGCTGCTGGAGCTCGCCGCAGACAGCGCCTCGTCGACGGATACGAGCAGATCCTCGCGGGTCTGCTTGCATTCCTCGAGCACGGCGTTTATCCGCTGTTGGCTCGCGGCGGCTTCGGCGAGTGCTTGCTCGACCCGCTCTTGGCTCGCGGCGAGCTTTGCCTTGATCTCCGCGCGCAACGCCTTGAGCTTGCTGCGGCTCCCACTGCGGGAGCTGCGGCTGCTCCGGGTTGCTTCGGAGGGCTTTGCTGTCGACTCAGGCATGTTCCTGAGAGGTTGCTGGGTCGACTAGAGATGGTGGTAGAACATAGATGTTCCGAGTTTCGAAGTTGTTGCCTAGAGTAGAGTTTCCCAGAGAATAGAAAGCAGTGGGAACGCAAAAAAGTGTAACGACTCGATATCACACCGGGAGGATGCGTTGTACCCAATCTCTATTCGGTAGAGAAGTATACAGGAGGGCATCCAAGTAGGCAATGATAATGAGTAGTCTAGCGTATAGTAAGCGTGCTGGCGCGCCATACGAGGCATGAGACAAACAGAACCAAACATGTGAGATAAGATAGTCCATATCGGGCAGGTCTTACTGACCCCCCATTTAGGCCCGTTACAGTTCCAGAGCGTTAAAACTAGACATCATTAATTTACTGACCTATAGATTTCTCATACGGTACCGGTCGTGGAACAATCTCCTCAAACTGTTGGCTGTTGCGATGTACAGCACCCTCAAGGGAATATAATGCATTTCTGATTATACGTGATACAATAATACTAATATGACTATGTGCGTTCGATGAAGGCCCAAGTGGACGTCATGAGGAGCTTCATGAGGTTGCTACGCACCGGATGAAAGGCCAAAACCAGAAAGGTTTGGCCTGCTTGACATGCGGAAAGCCGGGTCTTCACCGTCAGTCACTGGGCTGGCGGGGTGTGCTCGCGCTCGCTCCCTTTGCCACCACGGTCGAAGATGCCCTGAGCGATCATGATGAGAGGCTGGTAGGGATAGCTACGTACCGGATAGCAGGCCGAAACTAGAAAGTTTCGGCCTTGTTGAAGGACGGGGGCGAAGTCTTCCCATCGGTCGCTGGGCGGGCGCCTCTTGAAGACCGGCGTGCTCGCGCTCGCTCCCTTTGCCACCACGGTCGAAGATGCCCTGAGCGATCATGATGAGAGGCTGGTAGGGATAGCTACGTACCGGATAGCAGGCCGAAACTAGAAAGTTTCGGCCTTGTTGAAGGATGGGGGCGAAGTCTTCCCATCGGTCGCTGGGCGGGCGCCTCTTGAAGACCGGCGTGCTCGCGCTCGCTCCCTTTGCCACCACGGTCGAAGATGCCCTGAACGATCATGATGAGAGGCTGGTAGGGATAGCTATGTACTGGATAGCAGGCCGAACCTAGAAAGATGAGCACGTTGCTGCAGAGAGTTGAGAAAATTGCTGAGCTGAAAGCTTCACGTTACGAGTCAGTCACGTGACTGCCACTGAACGTATGTTCTATAACCACTCAACATGCTACAACAATACAACGATGTCATATTACGATGTCCAACTACTAAGACAAGGTAGGCGCGAGCAAAAGTCCAGAGCGTATACAGCGCAAGCGAGAATTGAGAGCGTAGACAGCGCGGACAAGTATCGTGAACGTAGACAGCGCGGACAAGTATCGTGAGCGAACAAACACAGCAACAACACGAATCAGGACTGACAACACGAGGGCAGGACAAGAAGAGGATACGCTATTGTACAACGAGCAATGGCTCATGATAGATAAAGGCGTCAACCTGATAGGGGAAGAGTATGATCAGACGACCCGGGTGACCCACTGACACGGCGACGAGACGATGAACGGACGATGAGTATGAAGTCGGTAGAGACTCACATCTCAATCGACGGCATGCGGGCCAGCACTCGGGCCAGCGCGACGTTCGCCGTCAGAGGCGGCGTCCGAGGTACCCCGCTTGCGCTTCCTCCTTTGGAAGCTTAGCTCCCAGATGTTCTCAAGCGGTAGGTTCGTCCTTTCGTCCTTGTCGTCCACGTCCGGCTCATGGGTGCTCTGCTTGATGCGCCACTGGGCGGTGAGCTTGGAGCTGGCCTTTACCGCGTGGAGCATGTCCTCCAAGTCTGTCGTGAGGTCGATGCCTTGAGCAGACCTGGATACATTCTCCCAGTATTTGCGAATCTCGTCACATGCGGCGTCATAAGTGAACGTATTGGCGATGTCAGAGATTGCACTGTGGCGTTCAAGAAGGTCCTCCTGAGTCGGAAGATGGTCAAAGCGTTCGACCACCTTCTCCCAGAACTTGTTCGTGAAGATCTGAACATAGACATCGAGCTGGCTCTGGTACCCGAGTGCAACTTTCTTGAGGAAATCGTCACGACGGTCCTTGTGGACGCCTTCATACTTGTCAAGGATAGCCTAATCGTTCTGTCAGCTAGGCAGTGATGCCGATGATGCCTGAACGTACCGTTCCAAGACCTGCCTCCAGGTACTTGTGAATCTGGGCCCTGCTTTTCACCAGCGCAGTGAACTTCGCAACCTCGTCGTCGTCGAGTACATTGACATGGATCCAATAGGCCCGCGTAGCAGCATGCCAGACATACGATTGTCCGTTGACCTCGCAGACCCACGGTCCAGCCCCCGGTATGAGGTGCTCCGAGTAGGCGCAACCGCCTACGGTGAGCTTTGACTCGACATCTTCCTGCAACCTGGCAAACATGGCGTCGTCTGACCGCACATCTCCCATTTTGCACTCCAAGGCGTCCTTGTATTTTTGCGTGTCGGACTTGTGCTTCTTACTACCGCCAGGGAATGTGTAGGATTTGGCGAGGGTGTCGAACGTCTCGCGCACCGCGATGACATTGATGACGCGCAGGTTCTTCAGAGGTGTTTTTTTGCCGCTTCGCAGCGCGGTGGCTCGGTCGTCGATAAAATTCAGGGCCTACCTTAGCATCAGCGGTGGATGAACGTTTGGTCAACTGTAAGGCGTACCTTGGTGAACCCTCCCTCATGGATGGGGCGATCGCCCTGTGGTTGAGTCTCAGGCGAGTAATCAAGCTGCGAGACCATGATCTCGTCGAGGCTTGTGATGTCGCGGGTGGAGGTCGTGGTCAGTTCCACCACAACGTCGGGAAACTTCTCCGCAAGATGTCCTTTCCTCCCCTTCTCTTCGGCGTAGATGGGTGTGGTATCTACGGCAAAATCCAGCAGTGGTTTCATGACCACCTGCACACTTTTCGGGGAAGTGTTGACAATCTTGAGCACCTGCTTGAGGTGCGCCTTGCGAAGTTGAACCATCTCCTGATGATTGGGACTGGGTCTGAAAACCATGAGGACTTGAGTGTCGCTGCTGTACTCCCACCTGCGCCAATCTGATTAGAAACGGAGATTCGAGCTGATTAGAAAGATAACTTACTGAAGATAACTGAATGGGAATTTGTCGAAGAACTTGCAGAGCTCCTGCCACTCACGTGGGCTGAAGTCCTTGACGGTCTGTGCACACTCTGTCAGAAACAAGACGCTTCGCAGCACGACAGGTGGCTCGCCTTTGAGTAATACGGGTCAAGGCGTAGGAGCACTGCGTCTAGATCTTCGCCAAAGATCTTATGCACGACGTCGGGGAACAGAGCTTTCGGGTAGATTGGTGTGGGTTGGTACGTTGGTGGTTCTGCCTTCTTGGGGGCAGTTTGGGCTATCGTCCTGGATGTTGGCTGAGGGTGCTTGACACAGACTGTTGCGTACGCACCTGGCTGAGTGTTGGTAGGTTGGACAGTCTTGGACCGGGGACGAAAATTTGATTTGGGACCTAATACTTGCATATGTGAGTTGGTTATGACCTCAAATCCCATCGTCTAATGAGCTCACCGTTCTCAGCGGCCTTGCGGTTGCGGTCACCGCGCGAGTTGAGTTGGAGCTGAGAGAATCTCTGAGCTCCCCCGTCCCTCGAGTCGACCTCGTTGTCTCTGAACGGCTTGGAGTCCAAGAGGGGGCTAGCCCGAGGGCCGGGGGATCGAGAGGGGGGGGATCGAACGGCAAGGCGGGAAGTGGTGGTAGGCATGGTGGATGTGAGAAGTCCTCTCGTAAGTTAGGAGAAGACCGGAGGGATGAACAAGGATAGACGGGCGCAAGACGAGCAATCGGAGCACCACATAAAGGGACGGGTGTGACGGGCCCAGGTTGCCACCAGCCACCTGCACTGCCGACGGCTTCAATTAAGCCCTCCACGCGCTTCACGCCCCTTCGCCAGCCGTTCTATCCCGCTCTATCTCTCATCGTGCGGTCGTACGCAAGAGTTCTCGGTCCCGTTGCGCTAATTTCGCCTTAGCTTGTCGACGCCCGAATGGGTTGCGCTCCTTCAACGCCCCTCAGACTCGGGGGCCCACAACGCTGTCCCTGCCGACACTGAGTCGCTCGTCCGGCGAGAGCGTGTGGCGTGGGAGCGAGCCGCCTCGCAGAGGCGGCTCGCTCCCACGCCACCGGATGCGCCGCCGAACCTTCTAGGAAAAAGAGCAGGAGACAAAGTACTCACCTTAGACTCTAGAGTACCGTGGCGCTCTACAACAGATAGAGGGCTGAAACCTGTAAGATGGTGAGAGCAAATAACAAGGAACCCGGGCACAAAGGTACGTACCAACTACCAACTACCAACTACCAACTACCAACTGAACTATGTTGATGGAGTGTGAAGGTAGGAGGCAAGCCGGGACGTAGGCCTACGCGCCCATAAGTAGCGCCGGGTAGCGCTGAAGAGACGTAAGCACCGCTGAAGTGACAGTGCGCTGACAACTATGAATGTTGCAGGTTTCCTACGACTTTTGTGTACTGGATAGTAAGCTTTATCGCTCTTCCGTCTGCAAAGGCAGCTACTCACATATTCTGGCAGCAGAAGATGACCAGACCCAAGTTGGCCGGACTCGGGAAGAAGCGCACCCTGCAGCAAATTATGGATGTGACATGTGGGGCATGTCATAAAACCTTCAAGACGGTGCAAGGCCTAGCAGCACACCAGAGCACAAGCCGTAAATGTGCCTGGTACAAGAAAGGCAAACTGAAGGAAGTGTTTGCGTTCCGAAGGCAAGGGCATGAGGTCCCAGACCTAGAAGACATGGAGGATAACGTTCAGATTGAGAACAAACCGTCGGTGATCTGTCCCAATATTACTGGGATTCAGGACTCACTGGTCCAATTTGATAGCCCAATACGCAACTCTGAACAGGCCGAGGCGAGCGGCTCAGATGTGGACGTAGAAGATGCAGAATTAGAAGCTGAATATCACCAGCGTGGAGGAGATGGAAACACCGACCAAGATGGGGACTCGGAGCAGTCTGATGACGAGGACGATCTATCGTCACTCTACGATTTCATTGAAGTGTGCCCACCTCTGGGATCCAACAGCGGGGGAGGAGGCGAGGCAGGTCCGTCTAGGCCATCAGCATCCACAGGTACAAGACGTACGGCATTGGCACTTGACGATGACAACGACGACGAACGGGTGGAGGAAGAGAATGAAGAGGCTGCCAAGATTCTACGAGTGGATAAAGCGGTGCGCAGGAGGTGGCGACAGGCCAGAGAAAGTCGGACGCATGTCGGTGAGTAGCACAGTTGCTCGTCTCCTCTTCAGATAGTCTGACAAGCCTTCCAAGGCGAAGCTGAAGACGATACTAAGAACCCTTGGGACCCGTTTGATACAGAGATGGACTGGCGGTTTGCAAACTGGGCCATCGAAGAAGGAATTAAGTTGAGCTCGCTTGACCGAGCGTTGGACATACCAAACGTGAGAGCGCAGCGCAGTATTTATTGACACTAACTCTCTGTATTAACGTTTGTTAGTTCAAGGAGCGTCTGGGACTGACATACCACAACACGCGTGCGCTGCTACAGCGCGTTGACTCCCTACCTGAGCGAGCCGAATGGAAGGAGCGTTGGCTCTCGTTCAAGGACCGCCCAAACGAGAAGCATCTGCTTCAATATCGTGACATCATACAGGCAATACTCACATTGTTGGGGAATCCGGAACACGCGGAACGAATTGTATACCGACCTCGACGTATTTTCTCAGATGGCTCACGTACTCGAAGAATTTACAACGAGATGTGGACAGGGAAGTGGTGGCATGCCGTCCAGGTAAGTACAGATTCAGTGCGATGTACTACGCGGGTTTCTCACTGTGCGTTGACCTTCACAGAGTCTTTTACCTATCGGCTCTGCGGTCGCGCCAGTTATCATAGCGACGGACAAAACACAGCTGACCCAGTTTTCTGGTGGCAAGTCCGCCTACCCGGTCTATATGACGCTTGGCAACATACCTAGGGATCTTCGTCGCAAACCCTCGGAACACGCCTGTATCCTTATAGGCTATCTCTCCACCGACAAGGTGAGCGGAGAGGGCATCACCCAGCGCAAACAACGCGCCCTCGTCCAACAGTTATTCCACGCTTCCGTCAGCACCATACTGGAGCCCTTGATAGAAGCGGGCAAGCATGGAATCGAAGTGACCGCAGCTGACGGTTCAGTCCGCCGTGTTCATCCCGTCCTTGCCGCCTACGTCGCGGACTACCCGGAGCAGTGTCTGGTGACCTGCTCCAAGTACGGCACTTGTCCCAAGTGCCAGGTGCCAGAAGCCGGCCTTGAAGATCCTCAGGCAGGGATGCCTCGCAACTCGCTGTGGACGCTAGATGTCCTACGTCGCGCAGCCAAGAATAGCGGGGGAAAGGTCGGCTCCAATGCTTTTGAGAAGGCATGTCAGGAGCTGAACGTCTCTGGTTATGTCGTACGCCCCTTCTGGCGCGATCTTCCCTACACCGATATTCACTCATGCATCACGCCGGATGTTCTCCACCAGCTCTACCAGGGCGTCTTCAAACATATCATCGAATGGACCTCGGAACTCGTTGACGAACGCGAACTTGACGCACGCATTCGCTCTCTCCCTCCAGCTTTCGGTACCCGCCATTTCAAGAACGGAATATCATCGTTGTCGCAGGTCTCCGGCACCGAGCGCAAGCACATTGCAAGAATTCTCCTCGCGTGTTTGGTAGGCAAGGTCCCCAAGAAGGCGATCCTTGCCTTTCGCTCAATCCTGGACTTCATTTACCTTGCACAGTACACTACGCACGACGACACGACACTCAGTTACATGGACGACGCTCTCAAGACCTTTCACAAGAACAAAAGCGTTCTGGTCGACCTCGGAGTACGCGAACATCTCAATATACCCAAATTCCATTCTCTACTACACTACGTCGACTCAATCCGCCTTCTCGGGACCACGGACAACTACAACACCGAGGCGTTTGAACGCCTGCACATCGACTTTGCGAAGAGCGCGTGGAGAGCGTCCAACCATCGCGAGGCTCGCCCCCAAATGGTGCGCTGGCTGGAGCGTCGCGAGAAGATGGTAGTCCTCGGCGCATCCATTCGCCGTCAGCTCGTACGGAACGGTGATGTATCTGAGGATGAAGTGGTCGAAGAAGACGTCAACATACCTGCCCCAAGACACAATGCTCGTATCAAATTACCCAAGCACCCTACCTCTCCTAGCCAGTCTCTTCACGCCGTTGTCAACAAACATGATGCTCCCGGATTCATACATTCCCTCGCTCAGTACATTTGGGAGCTCAAGGAAGGACGCGCTCTCACCTCCTCTCAGCTCCAGACCGCTGTCAACAACATGCCACTCACGCATGTGGACATATTCCATGGCTTCAAGTTCGCGCCTGAGTCCTTGACAGACGACAAGCAGGAGACGGATGGAGTGAAAGCTAGGCCGCTCACAGAAACTCAGCCAGCGCGGTTCGACACTGTTGTCGTACTTCGAGGGGAAGACGCTGAAGCAACTGGGCTACAAGGTGTGTAAACCTGTGGCCTGACATACAGAGTGCGCTCACCGTTGTTCACCTTCCAGGCACTCGCATTGGCCGAGTGAAGGTGGTGTTCAAGTTGCCACCGGAGATGAAGGACCCTCGTACGCAGCGTACCTTGCAGACCCCATTGGAGTGGACGAAGCAAGGGGCCCTTGCGTACGTTGAATGGTATGCAAAATTACCGGCTCAGGCGGATCCTTACCATATGATGTACGCTGTAAGCAAGCCCCCGTTGCGCGCAAATGGTCTGCCCCCCAGCGATATCATACCCATTTCCATTATACGCCAATCTTGTCAGCTAGTGCCTTGCTTTCCTAGGTCTAATGATGGTACTAAACCTGATAGTATACCGGAGGACTGGAACACCAATACCGTATTAGATCTTGCGCAGAGATTCCTACTGAACAACTCTGCCTCCAAGTACGCGTATCAAACCCTATGGTAGCATATGTCTGTCCTACACATACTTCATATGACGCATGACACATTTGTTCTTCAGAATGTACCTACTACTACACGTTAGATTAAGTATGTTGTCCACGAGAGATACAGATAGGCATAGACTCGAGGTCAGACGGCGCCGGGATGACGACCACGGCTGAGACAGGCAAATAGTAGTAGAGGGGGAGTGGGATACGTAGCAGGCACGCACGTCTGATGTGTAGTAGTACAGAGGATGATAGATATAGTAGCTGCAGGATTGTCGTATGAGTAAGTGTAGATAGAGGTGGTATGGGCATAGAAACACTTGCCTTGGAAATGGGCCGATTCTACTGCTCCTGCCACGCGAAACAGACAAAGTTGATGATGTTCACGGCCTTGATGCGACAGGACAACTACGACATCTTGGTGATGTACCTCTCGCAGTGAGATACAAAGAAACCACTGGACACTGACTGACTTACCACTCATTGCCGAGTTCATCGACCTCACGCTCGCTGCTGGAAGTTTGCTCCTGGGCCTTCTTCGCGCCGGACTTCGATCGCGACGGACGTGACGGTCCACTCTCTGCGTTCGCTGCATCCTTCGATGATCCAGCTGCAGTCTTGGACGCCGCAGGAGTCTTTGCCTTGCTGTTGAATGACTTGACCGAGCTGATATAGAGTCTACATTAGTGTATGCAACTGGCACTTTGCGTTACTTCAGTTGGCCATTGATAGTCAGAGCCAGTCACTGGTGTAGTGAGAAGATCACCAATGGTCACATATGCTGGCCGGCGTGCAAATATGTTAGCTGAAGACTGTTTCAGTAAATCAGGGTTTTCCTGATGTCAAGGCACACAAGAAGGGCATTCGGCGTGCAGCCGTCAACTCCTTCGGTTATATTGCGAAGAGTTTGGGTCCTCAAGATGTCCTGCAAGTGCTCCTCACGAACTTGCGTGTGCAAGAACGTCAGAGCCGTGTCTGCAGTACGGTCGCCACCGCCATCGTGGCCGAGACTTGTGGTCCCTTCACCTGCATTCCCACAATCCTGAACGAGTACCGGACAGCCGAGTTGAACGTCCGGACTGGTTGTTTGAAGGCCTTCAAGTCCTTCGTCTTCGAGTATGTCGGCCCATAGTCCACGTACTAAGCCGATTCCGTCGTCACGATGCTGGAGGATGCCCCACTGACCGTGACCTTCTCCACTGGCAAACAGCGAGCACGACTGTCAAGCACCTTCAAGCGCTCGGTGTTGCAGGCCTCGGATGCGAGGACTTGCCGCACCAGTGAGTCACTCCGCGTTCAGTATACAGTCATTAACCCACCGGTGGGTCAGTATCGTCTGATGGGCCACCTTCCCAATTCGGCGACGCCACACCGCATTAGGCAACTGACGCTCCACGAGGCTCCACGCAATCTGGCCGCGCGCGTGCAGGATGCACTGTTCGACTGGACCTCAGCTCAACGGATGTATGGAGTTTATTGGGTACTTTATTCCAGAGAAAATCATATCTAAACATCGGCCTCACTATGAGACAGTAAAGTAGGCCTTACAGAGCAGTAGCACTCCGGTTGTCACCCCGCCCAAGGGTACAACAGCACAGGCGCTCGGCGCGACTATTGACTCTCACCTTTATGTCTGCCTCGCGGACATGCAGCTATGGTCAACATTGCTGTTCCTCAGTATTCTCGGCTACACGAGACAGCTCAGCGACGCTATAACACACTTGATAATGCCGCACATGCCTACAACTCGCCAAGAGCAAACCATACACCATCACGACCTCACAGTCTTCGGTACGTTGCGAAGCAGGCTGGTATAGCCCGTGAAACACTGCGCCGCCGAGTAAATGGAGGCCATTCTAGAAGGGATAGGGCGGTGGAAGATCAGAAGTTGGATGCCGAGGAGGAAGAACAGGTTCTTCGTTGGATCGAGGGTTCGTCCGACCGCGCTCGTCCTCCGACTAATCGGAAGATCACGGAGATGGTGAACAATGTCCTTGCTGCTCGTCCACGTCTAGCAGGCTGTCCACCAGTAACTGTCGGTAAATGTTGGATATCAAGGTTCAAAAACCGCCATCACGATCGCATCCAGACCACGATAGGCTCGTCATACAGCACTGCTCATGCCGGTGCACTCACGGAATCAATCCTGGGGGGACATTTCAGGACCGTAGAGGAGCTCTACCAGGCGCATGATGTCCGTGTCAAGGACATCTATGCAGCTGATGAGACAGGTTTGCAGGATGCCGTACAGACGTCCGAGCGCGTTGTTGGGAGGAAGGGAGTGAAGCGGCAGCATGTCAGCCAAAGCGGAGATAGGGTGCTCACTTCGGCACTCGGAACAATCTGCGCAGACGGGACATCTGTTCCACCATTTGTTATCTTCAAGGGCGAGCGATTCCGGGCCGATTGGGCAGCAGAGAACCCACTTCAGGCTCTGTACGTTATGATACATTGTCAGAAAGTTAAACTAATGATGCTCTGTGAACAGAATGGGCCACTCCGCATCTGGATGGATGGATTCGGGCCTTGCATACGATTGGGTCGTGTGGTTTGAGCAGTATACACGCGAGAAGGCTAGCGGACACACTCGTGTCCTCCACATCGACAGCCATGCGACCCACATCTCCCCTGAACTGTGCCAGTATGCGAGCCAACACAACCTTCACGTTGTCGGTTACCCTCCAGAATCAACAGATCGCCTCCAAGGCCTAGACATGGTCCACTACGCGCAGATCAAGCGCCTATGGCCCCTGAAGGTTCAGGAGCATCACAGTGGAATCGGTGCCTCGGAAATGCTGCGGGCCGTCGCGGAGGTGTGGAACAGTGTCTTCACAAAGCAGAACAACTTGAAGGCATTCGAGGTATCAGGCATTGCGCAGCCTACCACACCAAACGATTTCACTTCGCGCGCAACAGTTCTCGCGGGTGCAATCCCGCCTCGTGCTCTTGCTCCCGCTGCAGAGACGTCTACCGAGAGTACGTTCCCGCAACGACAGCCCTCGCCCGTGGTTGAGACCGTCACCATCCTTACCCTCATCCACACCCTCCGCAATTGCCCAGCCAGCCCACACACTCCAAGTCCTCCTCCAGATGCCGCACGCACTGCTGCCACAACAATCGTGTCGCCAACATCACTCCTCCTCTCTCCCTCCACGTTCACTCCTCGTAAACGTGACGCAGCAATTGCTCGGCGCGTCGAACCCCTTGTCAACTCTATCCCGCTCCGCGCATCTGTGAACATAGACACTCCAATCATGCCACCCATCACGGCGAACCCAATACCCGCCCCAGACTTCACTCGGAACTCACCTCCATTTAATCAGGAGCAGATGTCGAAGGAGGAGCTTGTCGAGATGGTGAGGGATATGGGGAAGTCGAAGGCAGCGGCGAAAGACACAATCAAGGAGCAGGGCCAGTCGATCATAGCGCAGCGGGCACAGCTTGTCATTCAGAACGAGCAGCAAATCGGTCTGCAAACACGACTCAATGAGAAGACAAAGAAGAAGACAAAGTCCCATAAGGTTGCATACCTGCGGAAAGAACAGGCGCAAGGCCGATCCGGCCGTGTCTACACAAACCCAGGCTATCTGAACGCGCAGGAACTAGAGGCAGCGGAACAAGAGCAAGGCGAGTTGGATAAGACAAGGCACATGGCTGTCCGTGCAGCTGTGGCAAGGCGTAACGAGTGGCGGAAGCAGAAGAAGGAGGAGCGCAGAGTCGTGAACGCACAGAACAAGGAAAAGTACGAGGAGGACCGCCAGGATCGCGCGATCGATGGAACAAAGCCGCCGCGTGCACCGCGCGCTCTCAGAAAGGAAACCACGCCTGACTACTTCCCCCGGACGATTGAGAAAGCAGAAAGGGTTGGTGATAACGAGCTGAAACAGATGCAGTCGTCGTTGGGAGATGTATCAGGGAGGGACGAGCAGAACAGAATCCTCTGGGATGCACTTTCGATCATGCCACTCAGGCTGACTCCTTCTGACAACCAGTCTTCGAGTTCGGACGTGGATGAATCTGAATAGAATGTATTTTTATTCTGTATATATTGTATGCTACTTCGCACTGTATCAACGTCCTATAATCGCGAGGTCCGTGTGTCTGCGATGGACCGAGGTCGTCCGACTGCGCGCGCGCGGCCAGATTGCGTGGAGCCTCGTGGAGCGTCAGTTGCCTAATGCGGTGTGGCGTCGCCGAATTGGGAAGGTGGCCCATCAGACGATACTGACCCACCGGTGGGTTAATGACTGTAACAAGCGGCCCTCTGGATGTCGGTATGCCGTTCAGTGGGCGACCGTCGCGAGCTCACGCATGCAATGCATAGATCTCGTAAGTCGCCTATTCCCGAACACTTTTCGCGTCTAACACGTGTCTTTGGGATCAGATGGATCTTATTGGGTTGCGCGAACACAAGCAGTGGATACCGCGTAACCAGGCTGCCGCTCCTACCACCATCGCTGCCACCCATGCACAAGCTACAAAGGAGGCGAAGGACTACCAGCAAACATTCAGCATGGCCGCGCGGTGATTCCAAGTGTGGCGGCAACCACATCGAGTAATCGCAAGTCTGCCCCGATAGCTGGCAACGTGCCTTCGTGTGTACTACCCTCGAAGGCCCTCGAAGACGGGAGACAGGTGTCTTTACGTCACTGCGGCGAAGCCCATTGAACGTGTCCACCACACTGACAAAGAACTCTGAGCTCATTCAAACCCAGGCTGTTCTCGGCCACCAAGCCACAAGGCCAAAATCGACTTCGTTCCGCCGGCACGCGCAAGACTTCGTACCAATGCAAGCAGTGCCGATTCCTTCTACGGACCATCCTTAGTCAAAGGAGCGCATGACTCCGATGCTGCCGCGTTTCACGGCTGCGAACGTACGTACAGTGCTTTTCTGAATGCTCAAATTCTCCTCATCAGTTGCAATGCGGTGTACACGCTGCGACTGCGCTCATTGTAAGTCAAATTCATGTTCTCACATTGGACAGCCTCAGTCGCGACGCACAACTTTAGGTAAGTAAATGTCGTGCCTCTGCTGTATATGAACTCGAAATGTGAGCTCATTAGCGTCGACTTGGAGCTTCCGCCGGTTCACCGACATGGCGATGCAAGTTCCCCAAGCCCGCCAGCCTTCAGCATCGCGCCCGGTCTCTCGTGCCCCGTCGTCGATGGCCGGCAATGAGGAAAACTTCGACATGAATGTTAGTGGCGATGAGGACGATTTAGAAGACTTGCGACCGATACCGCCTGTGCCTGGGGCAGGCGCGACCATTGAGGACTACAAGAAGGTGAGTACAACGCCCGCAATGCATGATACAACCTGTCTCAAGCTTCATACTAGACACTCGCCCTATATCAAACCGAACACGAGGTGCTGCGACTCCAGCTGCGCGACGCGAAGATCGAGATTGCTAGCCTCAAATCCCAGTTACGAGGCCAAGGAAAGCGCATCCGAAAGTCCAAGACAACTGACGACCCTGTGCTCGAAGACAAGATTGCCGTGGCAGCACGAGTATACGCGCTATTTGTCTCACCGTGGCTTCACGCCGATGCCTTCAAGTTCAGCAGCTGTCCCGACATCGACCCCCAGTCGCGTGCTCGGTACGACAATGCTGACTCAATGCAGAAGGCGAGAGCAGCAGAGCTCTTTGCCGCCATCCCCTCTGAATCTCATCCGTGGATTGGGCATGCGTCTGCGACTGCTATCGCGGGAGTGAGTGAAAATTTTCACAAATATTCACTAGCCGCTGAACCTTGATTTCAGTTCAAAGCCGCTATGCAGCAAGTACGCTCGAACGCAATCAACAATGTAGTCAACTCTACGAACGCCATCTTCGATATGCCCGAGGCGCGATTCATGCGCAAGGGGTCCTACGATCGCAGCACGGATGCTGAGCTACAACGCTTGATCCGCACGCCAGGGAAAACTGAGGAATATGGCGATTTTGTGCCCATCTTGTTTCCAAAGGAAGACAAAAAAATTAAGATGCATCATATATTCCGCAGCCTGTACATCACAAAAGTACGTTTGTGTTCAGCTCTACGCGCTTCCCTGTGTGCTAACGGTGATTAGATTGCGAAGGTTATATTGTTCGGAAAACAGTCTCTTGTACGCGACGGTGGTGCGTGCTCTGGTAAACCGGCGATGGGGAAAGCGCTGGGCATCACTAAGCCTACTGACGGTCTCATCGCGTTCTCCGCTGTGCTGGTGAGTTTCAAAAAACGGCTGTCGTGGTTCATGCATTGATTACCATGCACCAGGCCCGCTATCTGTGTTCGCCAGATGTCGCTTTCACTGAAGTGGGCGAGCCTTCGAAAATAAACTACCACGAAGCCTTCGATCTGTACAAGAAGTTCCTCATTTGCATGGACCCGGAGGCCAAGGCGAAGGTCGTCACGTTCTACCTCGAACACGTGTTCGGGGTAGTCCAGCCAGTGCAGGCCATTGCATCAGCAGGCAACGTCCCGCGTGCGCTGGAGATCGACTCTTTCTCACAAGCATTACTAGCCATCAATGAGGAGAGCGTCGTCTACGGGTCCGACGGCGAAGAGCCTGAGCTCGACGTGTCGGAGCTGGGCATCGACGACCTGGAGCCGAGCGCTGCTGGCCCAAGCAACGACGTTCTCTTACCCAGCATCTCGTCTTCGCGCTCCGCGTCTCGACCGACTAACAGCGTACCACAGGCGGTGTCTCAGCAGCAGGCACCATCTGCCACACCGAGCGAAGCAGCAGAGACGCCGACAGCTATCGGCGTTCGCGCGGCTTCCTCCTCTACTACTGCTGTCCGCGCGCCTGCTCGTGGGACCACCCCCATCCACACCGACGATCCACTTGCCACCGCGCTCGGCAACATGATGATAGCGAGACAGGTAACGTCGCAGTCGGACGAGGCGATTGCCGGTGAGGCTGCGGCCGCAGCCACTCAGGCAGTGCCTGAACTGGCTCCTCCTGCAGAAATAGCACAGAAAAGCCAGAGGCGCGCGCCGAAGAAGGCTGCAGCGAAAGGGAAGGAGAAGGAGAAGGAGAAGGAGAAGGAGAAGGAACTCCCACCCCCGGCTGCTCCTGCTGGTCGGCGTACGCGATCGCGAGCGGTGGCACCGCCTTCATAGGCTCATAGGCTCAAGCCTGATTTCATTGTCGTGTTTCTCATTGTATACTGTGTAGACTTTCTCGCCGTCTGTATGCATCGTAGATTTGCAGTGGACCGCCTCGTAAACGTCAGTCTATATTACCACAGTCCGGTAACTGAGCTATTATAGTATGAGTTGAAGTGAGTCTATTGTTATCATATAAGAGTCTAGGCCAAAAAGGTGATGTCTTATATTGCCGACGTTAACAGTAGGTATGCCAGTATAGGCCAGTGGTATGCCCGTAGTAACTATGATCATAGGTAAGATCTATCGCAGTCTTGAGTTCGAATCCTTTTCTGACCATTTCATTTCACAGACGCCCATTCCAATGACTCGTGGGCCCATTCGATCGTGGGGTAAGTGTAACAGTAACAAGGTAAGGCCGTCAGTAACAGACAGTGAGAATCAATATAAGTTAGCAAACAAATCAATGACCACACCAACATAGGAACTTGTACCCGACCATTGCTTCGTTGACTGCCCATTGCCAGGCCCTTCTTCTTATTACTTTCGCCACTCGGTTATTCCAATCACATTGTGGCATTTCAATGGATACCAATGACGGCTGACGCTTTCAAAACCCATCCATTACAATGTAATTGCTATGTACATACTCCGACATTACAATGTTATTATCATGTAACCTGCCGGGATTGCAATAGGGCAGTTCAGAGTAGCCGCAGAGAAAACGAAAACGAAAGTGAAAGTGAAAGTGCTTATCACGTGTACGTTCCAAAGCGGTTGTGTGACATTATGTAATCAAACCGTGCAGGAACGTCGGCAAGCCTGTACGGCGCGAGGCTCGAGCGCTTTCGGCGGTGTTCGCCAGCATAAAATAAGAAATATCGCAAGAATATGACAGCTTCTGTGTTGGGCCATAATAATTATATAGGCTGGACCCCTTTTTTGGCCATCTCTATGTATTGCTTAATGACGGCGGCACTATGGAGGGTACTGTACAGTTTAATATCAACATTACCTAAGTAGGTGGACCCATAGTTAATCCCCTTATCACTTAGTAATATGCTTTCCGAGTGGCGCGCCGAACCCTTTGCCACTCGCTTGCAGCGATTATTATGCGATTTATGCCTCGTTTTGGGTATTTTGTCATCATCAGAAAAACGGTAAGTCCGAAATTGAGGACCCGTTGGAAGTCCGACTATACGCGATTCGAAACGGAGGGGTCTAGCGATATGGAAATGGCTGTAACTAGTGTGGGCATGGACCGTCATGGAGGATATAGCTCGTACCCTAACCCGACCTGGGCGAACAATATGTGTTTGCAATCAAAAATGCGCCGCAACGGCGAGACTGTGAGGCGCCGGTACACGTCCCGTCACGTCCCGTCACAGCGCTGTACCCTGCACGTGACGAACACTTTCGCTTTCACTTTCGTTTTCGTTTTCTCTGCGGCTACTCTGAACTGCCCTAATGGCATTGCAATCGTTTGGAGTTGAATCTAATGCTTTCGGCATCTAAATACAATGTAATGCATTCTAATGCATTCCTATGCTCGTAAGAAAGTTGCGACAACGTGCTGTTCGAGTGCAAGGCCCAGAAAGTCCTTGGTCGGATCCACGGGGAGCGGATGTCGCCATCGGAGGAGCTGCTTCTTGTCAGGCTAATTACACACCGTATTTAGCACCAGGAGCTGGTCCATGTGTCGCCGATCACGCGCACGATTGAATAGCGCTCCCGTCGTCAGCCTATTTGTCTGGATTCTTACTCAAGGATCATTTCTAGCCTGCACAGTGTACATGCGTAGGCCTTGCTGATACATCCGAAGACATCCCGAAAACGGATATCCATTCGCAGTCCAAGGGGCGAACGACCTTGCAGTCATTCCGCCTTCCAGCTAGTACCGTATAGCGTACTCTACGCCTTCTTCTTCCCAAATAGCTTGCTCAACCCTCCACTCTTCGACGATCCACCCTGGTGCTTGTTGTACGCCGCCTCGTTCTTGTTCAGGATCTTCTTGCCCGCGTGGTCCATCTTGCGCATCCGCGCGTTCCACTCGAGGAACGCCTTCTCGTACTCGTCGAATGTCCTGTAGTGTTCGCGCTGGGGCTGGTCAAGCGGGCCCCGGGCGACCAGCCCGGGCTCGAGGTACTCCCGCTCGAAGAGGTCGCCGTCTTCGAAGTCTGAGCGCGCCGACAGGTAAAGGTCTGCGTCGCTGCGGGCCGCGAGGTACTCCCGCGCGAAGTGGCTGATGATCTGGAGGTCGCGCTCCGACAGAGCGACTTCGCTGTTGCTGCGAGCACTGTTGTGCAGAAGGGACGAGCATTAGGTTACAATGTCAATCAGAGGGATGGGAATGCAAGCGACGTACGCGAACATGTAATCATCAACGGGACGCGCTACCGCAACGGACGCGGCGGCGACGATGGCAAGAGGCAGGAAGTTGGAGAAACGCATCTTGAGCGAGTACGGTGGGATTCTGGAGGAATGGGAGAGCTGGTGGTTGGATGGGGAAGGTCGTAGAAGGATCGCGGCCGTTAAGTAGACTGGACGTAAGAAATCGAGCAAGGCTACCGAGTGAAGACTCATCAGCATCGACATTAGCAGGAGGACATGCTACGGCACTCACCAACCAGTGCACTCGCTGTCAATGAGCTCTGAAGGAGAAGACAAAGCTGGGGGACTACTGCAGGCCGTCTGTGCTTTTATACACGCTGGTGCGGTCGTCGCCGCGGATACCGGATGGTGAGGTACGTTGCTCACTCAGCGCTGAGATGCCCAAGCCCTCGGGGCCGAGCGTCCCTCGGGTCGCTAGCGGAGCAGGCCGCCCGAGCAGCATCAACTTGAACATACGCATCAGTAGGATCACCGCCGTGCCGATGAATATACGTACCAGGTCCTCTAGGTCGCGCTGCGGCACTACCCCAGCCAGGGAACTCAGATCTTTTTCCGCGCATGTACAGCTGGGTCCTGCTGGGTCCCGCATTTCCTCCGCAGTTGCCGTTAGTATGGAGACAGTCGACAATGCATTTCACTCCGACTTCGACGGGGTACTTGAACGCGATACAAAGGGAACCGCCGCGACCAATTCGAAAAGCTATGATCGCGAGGGCGGGAGTAAGGGTGATCTTGGCGTGATCAATCTACGACGGCTTTGTGGTAGACGGAAGCGCTGAAGCGCTGGCAGTGCAGCGGTAGAACACCGGCCATGTGATGATCGTCGTCCAGCGGTCGTTTGAAACGCTCTGGCGCTCTTCGTGTTCAGGCTGATGCGCTGTGCTGTACAGTGTATGGGGTATGGTGTCATATACGAAGGCTTACCAGATATCTGTTTCTATAGTTCGTAGCCGTGCATAAGAGACACTAGCTGTATACCGAGTGGCACGCCATTTAGCAAGTTGACGATGGATGCCCGCTCGATGCCCTCGGACAGCGAGCTTGCTGGCGGCTGAGCGCGTCGGCTTGTTTCACACTCAAAATATCAGCCGACTCCACAATCATATTGACAATCCCGCTCGCCTATAACAGACCTGAGACGGTGTGAGACCTGTAGGCCTAGTGATTGCCTCGGGAAGACGCCGAGACGGAGGTATTTGGCACCCGAGCTTAGGAGGGAGAGGAGCGAGGAGAGCACGGGGACAAGGAGTACTTACTTGCGCATTCTTTCCTCGACAATCGCCGTATTCAAGTCTCTGTAGTGCCCGAGGACGTGCACAATCCGTACAGGTGATAGGCAGTACTTGAAGCCCGAGGTGACGTTGTCCTGGGCCGTACTTTCTGCCTCATGCTTTCTTGACACCAAGGGCCGTTGTCTATCCAAGTTTCACGTAGTGAGATAAGACCTCTGTCAGCGCAGCTCCGAGTCCGGTCCCCGATCTATTCCGGCCGCCTCTCAGCCATGCACCGCACAGGAAATCCAGTGGAACTCACCCGTGGCCTGTCTCCTGATAGAGCAAGACTATCGGTGATATGACCTTCAATGAACATGGTCAGTACCAGCATTGTCAGGAGCACATACTGGACACTCACCGGCTAGTGCGTTCGGTATATCAGTGAGCTACGAAGAGCGACTCAGAACCAAGGTAGGAGCATCAACGTCGTACAACTCTGCTTATATGCCACTCACTAAATGGATCCAATTAGTGAACCGTGTACAGCTGAGTGCATGCCAAGTACCTTGCGAATTGCTGTGCGTTACGAGCTCGTATGAACGCGGCGACAGTGGATATGATCCTTCACTGCATAACTTATCTCGTGTGATTCTCACTTCTTGCATAACCGCCAGCGTACTGACTGCAGTCCGCCGACGTCGTCCCCGACAATTACCGGCTTGTACTTGGCGATTGAGATGTCGTCGATGAGAAATTGTGCCACGTTGCCATATTTAGGAGGGTGGCTGGGCGATGTGGCGGCGATCACTCGCGTGCACGGTCCACGTCCGTCCTCAGAGCCAGCGCCGAGTCTGTTGTCTCTGCTCGCCGTCGCCGCCTGGCGAGCAATGGTCACGTCTCCTTGGATGCATTCGACACCCACCCGAGTATCATGAACTGTCCCTAGCCGCTCACTCGCCCACCCTTCCCGTTCTGCCCGCCGGCTCCGTTCGCAATTCGCCTTCCAGGAGCGACGCCTAGTGTACTTTGCAGAGACTACTCTCTCCTCTTCATTCTCACTTGTCTGGAACAAGTCGGCGTCCTCTTTGCCTTTCTAGCTCTGACACTCCTTCGGCTCGTCTTGTCTACCTGCTGGCAGGCTTTCGCGTCGCTTTGCTACTTCCATTCTCACCTCGACATGGCTGTGCACCTACACCCGATGTTCTCGCTCGTCGCGGGCCGTAACGTCGAGCCACCCACCCCGACTCTCAGAAGCTCGCAGAGGGCGTACCCGTCTGCGCCTGTGAGGGATCTCGGGCAGCGTGCCATTCAGCGGCTAGCGGCCTTGAAGCGGGAGGAGGAGGAGCAGAACCTTGAGGATCTGGAGGATTTGAAGATGACAGAGGTGCGCAAGCCCTGACGCGCCTGGCCAAGAAGAGCTGCTGATTATGTCGAGAGTAGGAGCAACGTCTCCTTCTCGAGCGGTCCTTCGAAACCGTCAAGTTCGAGGCTGCAGACCTGGACGGCCTCAAATGGGACACTCCCGCGGCCAAACGCTTGCTCGCCGACTGGGTGCGTCCCAGCCACTGACCCTGCCACGACAACTCTGCCTGACACCCTCCACAGTATAGCTCCCAGGTCTTCGCCATCCACAAGCAGTACGGCCTGGTTCCTGACGGCTACCCACCCCTCGAGTCCGACTCCGCCTCCGAGGAAGCAGACTTCGAGCCGCCCCTCTCCTCCGCGAGCGACCAAACCATCATCCCTGATGACGTCCCCGACGTCGCCGTCGAGCCCCCCAGCCCGCCTCCCACCGCCCGCTTCCGCGGCGCGCCTCCGCCCCTCGTCTGGCCCCCGCTCGCGCTCGCTCCGGGTTTGCACGAACGCCCGCCGCTCCTCTCGCCGAACGAGGTGCATATACCTCTGTCGCCCGGCAGCCTCAGGCGGCTCCCTTGGCACGCACGCGCCCACCCGCATGGACGACGCACGCCCACGTATCGCGTGTTCAGCCTGCCCACGCGACTCGCCCCGCCTCGAATCGACCGCCGCGACACCGCGCGCCCTGGCGATTCACCCGAGGCGAAGGCAGACGCGGGCGGGGGTCCGAAGCCCCCGATGCGGGAGCCGACCGCCCTCCCGCACTCGCCCGAGGCCATGCCGGACAGCACAACTCTGGGCGTGGGCGCACCGCAGCTCACGTCCCCCCCTCATCGGAAGCAAGCACCCAAGAAACGCGTCGTCAGTCTGCCCCCGGACCTCCCGATCCCGTCCCCGCTCGAGCGCACGCTGAGCGAGTGCCCCGAGGGGAGCGTCTCGCCGACGCTGGGTCTGCGCGGGCGTGCGCTCCGCCCCCGCGAGCTGGCGAGAGGGGCTGGCAAGATCGCGTCTGTCACGAGGGTCGCTCCGACCAAGCTCTTCGAGGTCGGGCGCAGGCTCAGCCAGTGCCTCGCTGTGTCGCCGGACGCCTCGCCCTCTCTACACTCGGGCTCAAGCGTCCATCCTTTCCCGCACGTTTCGAATGAGGATGCCCGCGCACCCGCTGGGAACACGAAGGGAGCTACCAACCTCGCGACGAGACTCGCAGGACTGAAGATCGCCCTACCGCCCCTGCCTGAACGTACTCTCAGCATGTGGGGCGGCCAGGTTACGCCCGAGGACGAGCTCCCGCCGCCTCTCATGACACGCTCGATGTCCGCGTTTGGCTACAGCCGTCCTGAGCTCCTGGACGAGGAGGACAGCGCGGGGGAGTGGATGCCTGGGGGTCTGTCCCCGGAGTTGCGTTGGTGATGACGGTATGTTATGGGTCGTAGTGCTGTATATATGCGTGCAGATGACACCCAGGTTGGAATTGTTGAACGCTGCGTCGGTCCACTGAACTTCGAAGGTGCTAACACGCGCCGCCCGTATGGCCATTGCGTGACACATCTCACGTGCGTTGTGACAAGCGCGTACGAAATGGGCCGAAACGTGTCTGGAAGCTTGACCTCTCAATAGAACTTCGACGTTGTCTCGCTGCGCAACCTGTTTGTCCCTCAGCAACTCTCTTCGTGACTCGAACGCAGCTCGAGTAGGGAAAGCGGATCTAGCTCACAGTCATTGCAAGCACAGCGTCGTACTCCTCTACGCAGCCCGCTAGGTTGGAGGCGGACTCCTCAGCGCCGTGCCCTAATTTGGAGGACAGACGGACATCAAGAACGGCCTCTCGCACTTGCCGGCACAGGGAGCTCGCATCACTCAAGTATGTATCAGTACCATCATCACTGTTGAGCAGATGGAAATCCGTACTAGGTGCCTCGGGATGCTTGGATATTAACAGCTGCGTCTCGTCCTCGCTGACTCAGGTGGTCTTGCTGGGCGATCGTAGGGTAGGACCTTCACAATGACGGGGTATGCACTGATGACAAGGTAAGTCCCAATGTCCGTCGCGAATCTGGGCCTCCTCCATGTAGGGACTGCGCAGACATTAGGCCGCCGATCAAAAGTAGTGGCGGTCGCGGCGACGCACAAAAAAACCATCCATCATCCATGCGCCACAGATCGGTGCACATGGGCTTGGCTGGTGCAATGAGAGAGCACCAGACCCGCTTCGGACAGTTTGCTACGCCCCGTATGTGCTCTGAATAATTCTTCTGAGCTGGAGCAAGTCGCCGACCGCTGACTTGTGTTCCCCAAACAGCGAATCGCCGTCGGTAACAGTGGCCATCGTTCACCACGCCACGACACGAAGGACTGCACTGCCAGGTGAAGCTTCCATCAACATCAGCGATTACAGACTCAACATCGCAAGACGCAGCGCCGATTGCTCACAGCCCCGTGCTTGTGATCACGGTCAGAGCTGAGTAGTCGTTGAACAGGACGGCTGGGTTACACTCCCAAAGTATGCCGCAAATTCTCGACGCCGAGTGCGGAGGGTCAGCGCGGCGAGACACAGTCACGTAGTCAGAGAGGGAGTTGGGTGCTGCGCGGAATGGTCGTTGTGCTACCGCAGCGGCTGATGACTCCGAATTATCTCCTCTGGTGAACGATGGTATGTCATGATGTATCTTGCCGTAACGGAGCGCTTACCCGGAGGTTGGGCAGTCCGACGGTAGATACCTCAGTGTGCCATGGAGCACCATACTCGCTGTTCAAAAATCGCCGGCCGTCTACGACCAATAGGTATATATACGCAGACACCGACCCACTGGCTCTCCAGCTTTGTATTCTTCTTCAAGGCTCACCGACAGCGAGTGCACTGGTTGGTGAGTATCCCAGCATCTGCTCCCGCTCGTATCAATGTTGACGGTACCGCTCTCTTATGAACCGTTAGCCTTGCTTGATTATTCCACGTCCAGTCTAACGGCTACGATCCCTCTACGATCACCTGCTTCACCTGCTTCACCCACTTCATCTCCCCAGACTATCGACTCGTTTGCTCAGTATGCGTCTCTCAAGCCACCTCCCTCTCGCCATCGTCGTGGCCGCTGCTTCCGTTGCGGTCGGACGTCCTGTTGATGACTACGTGTACACGTATGTCATACTTACATCTTTCCAAACTGGTGGCTGACCGCACCGCTCACACTTCAGTGCACGCAGCGATGCCGGGTTGTCGGCGCGCGACCTCCGGGTCCTCAATCTCTTCATGCGCGAGTATTTGCCGCTGCCGGGCCGTAGCGACCCTGACCTCTACCTGTTCGCTCGCGATGATTCCGGCGTCGCAGATCTCCCGCAACGGGAGTACTTCGAGCCTGAGCTGGTCGCGCGCGGGGCCCTCGACCAGCCCAAGCGGGAGAGCTACAAAACTTGGGAAGAGTGGGACAGTGCGATGCGTGCATGGAACGCTCGGATGGGGAAGCTGGCCCACGCGACGCAGAAGGCAGTCGACAAGCATGGGACTAGTGCCCAGCCTCAGCGGCAGGACTACAGGACGGCGGAAGAGTGGGATAGTGCGATGCGCACATGGAACGCCAAGAACAGGAAGTTGGGCAACGCGGTGCAGAAGAACGTCAACCAGGCGGTTACGTCGCATAACAAGGAGCAAGCGAAGAAGGCTGGATCGTCGTCCAAGAACGGCGCACTCAAGAAGAAAGTCGGGTTTGTTGGAAAGCTACTCGGGAAGAAGGGAAAGAGGGGTGTAGTGGAGATGTGGGATCTCTATTAGGTCATTTCCCACTCCGTAGACTGTGATGATATCCCTTGCAGGAAGTGCTTCTCGCCCTTGACTTCGCTATTGAGTGATGCGATGTAGACGTGTACTCGCCTACAACTTATGAAGATTAAACGGTACGTGCCTGGCATTGATATCGTACTCTCGAACCTCTGACGCTAGCTCTGCTCACGTATGGGTCCGAGCCAACTGTGTTGACGAGGTGTAATGTTGACGGGACTCGAGGTACGCAACGCAATGCTATCGCATAGGTATACCGTATAGTCTCATAAGCACTGTTTGTTGGAGGTTCCCAGGTCAGCCTTTTCGGCCAATGATACGCTCTGTACGGAGCATGCTCACCGTGGAACGATGAATGATGCCGATGAGTGCGCTCTCGGGTATATGTACAGCGGCGTCGACTTGCTACTTCTCAAGGCCTGCACCACTCAGAACACTCGGAGTCGCTTGCGATGCTACTAGTATGTGACATTTGCAGCAATTGTATAAGATTTGATCTGTGACTGAGATCCGTACACTAGGATGTAGCCTGCGACTAGACGTCGACAGAGACTACACAAATCTTCACCAAGCGTGAATATATCCGAGCCACACGGACTTGCATGCGGAGGAAAGGGGTACCATCTCTCCGAGTTCTCCGTGTGGAGCGGGATGCAGACTGTTTGATATTGATGATCGCATGCCCGGCCCATGGCGATAAGTTCACATCAGCGCTTCTGCTCTGGGCGACTCTCAGGCTTAGACTGGGTACTACAAAGCGAACGCCGATCACTCTCTGACACTCAGACTTTCGGCCTCGCGAACGTGCATCTCTTGGTTTAGCAGCGCGGCTGTGCCACGTTGAACGTGTAAGAGCGCCCTCGACAATGGACGTAGGAACCTTGCAAAGGAGTGCGAGGAGGATGGCCCGGGGATCTCGGTGGAGCAAATTTGACTGGAAGCGAAGCGTTATGGCGTTGAGGGACCTGGTCAGTATGTGTTATCCGCCCACAGCGGCCTGACTGATGCGTGGGTCACTGACCGGGCCCAAGGCTTCTCGCCAGCGCCCCATCGAACAGCGCTCCAAGAGAAGCCCGGAATGTCCGTGAACATGAACGTTTCAGCGTGGCACCCAGGTGGTACCTCATCATCCGCTTTGTATATAAGGAAAGATGACCCGCATTGGCTCTCTAGCTTTGTCTTCTGCTTCAAAGCTCATTGACAGCGAGTGCACCGGTTGGTGAGTATCACAGCGTGTGTTCTCGCCGACGTTGATGCTGACCGAAGTCCTCCACCGTAGCCCTGCTTGATTTCTTACGTCCAGTCTAACGGCTCGTACGATCCGTCGACGACCACCGAGTCCTTCTCCGATTCTTTCCCGTCCCTAGATTTAACACCATACACCGTACTCGATCAAGATGCGTTTCTCCAGCTTCCTCCCTCTTGCCCTCGTTGCGGCAGCTTCCGTTGCGGTGGCCCGTCCTGTTGATGATTACATGTTCTTGTAAGTGTCCCTTAGGCTCCTGGCTTGAGCTTGTCGTAACGCTCGGTCCCTTCGAACTGTAGTGCTCGCAACGATGGCGAGCAAGCTCTGTCGGAGCGCGATCTCAAGATCCTCGACCACTTCGCGCGGGAGTATCTAGCGGCCCGCAGCGACGCTGACCTCTATCTGGAGGCACGCGAGGACTTCGATCCCGTCGACCTCCTCGAACGGGAGTATGTCGAGTCCGAACTGGTCGCTCGTGCCAGCCCCCTCTACCAGCCACAGCGCGGACACTACAAGACGGTCGGCGGGCATGATAAGACGTCACCGTGGCGTGAGTGGAACCGCAGGATGGGCCACGCGAGGATGAAAATAAAGGCGGCGGTCGACAGCGAATTGGAGCAGCAGGGTGGATCACAGGGTGTGCTAAGCAAGCTGTTCAGCAAGAAGAAGCAGTAGTGGGAAACATAGCTGGAAGGCGGAATGACTATTAGGCCGTTCATCGTTTGTTAGACGGCGACTGAATTTTCTCCGAGGATCTCTTGTGGTGTGACGCGGCGGCCTACGATCGACGGACAAGTCAGAAATAATCCTTGAGTACGTACTGTAATGGTCAGTGCGCATGCGGCTGGCCTCGCCGGGGTGGCGATCGTGACGATAGTGTTGTCTTTCGGTATCTTGTACTACATGACTCGCAGAGTAAGGTCAAAGTTGACTCTGTGCTCCTTTCGCGGAATACAGGACTCCGATCCGTGCCGGAATTAGTATGCGACGGTGCAGCACTACAGTACTTAGTATCACCGGGGGCATTGCAATTGGTCGGGGCGCAAACATTGAAAGGAGGAGGTAAGAATCATGATGTCCGTAGCATGTAAGTACTGTGCAGAAACGCAAGGAGATAATAAATACTGGCCTTGGTATGCCCTGATATAGAACACGAGGAAGCGGCATGTCCGGGTCCAGGCCCCAGGGGCGAGGACATGCTGTAGATCATCTGCATACGAGACACTTCGAGAATATGCAGTATGTCCGCAAATCCAGCAATGTATAGCAATGTATGGTGAGCACGCTCCGTAAATACAGTAAGTACTTGCATGCGGAGGAAGGTTTTTAGTATGTACTGCCGGATTTCTTCTCGGAGCTCCGTGTGTAGCCGGCCGATCAGTTCACCTGAGCGCTTCCGCACCGCATTGACCGCAAAGCGGTGCACTATTACTAGTATTAGTACTGCTCTTTGACACTACTACCGCCATCGCGATCGTGCCAATCCGGATTTAGTAGCTCGATCGGCTGTACAGCTGTGCCACTGATTGTATGTGGAAGGTACAGCGTCGCACCCAAGTCGCATCACCAATAAATATCCGTAGGAGCTTAGCAGAGGGGTGCGACTCGGAGATGAAAGAGCGATGTCAAGGCTTGGCCACGCAGCGGATTAGTAGACGAGGGATCTCGGTGAAGCAAATTTGACTGGAAAGCGAAGATTAGACGAAGCGTTACCGTGGTGTAGAAGGACCTGATAAGTATTTGCTAGCGCCCTCAGGACTGCCAGTGTCAGTGATGCGTACGTTACTGATGCCCCTTCCCGCACTGACCCCGATCGAACAGTGCCCCAAGAGCGGACTCAGACATTCCGAAAACATGGACGTTTCAGCGGGTTACCTCATCATCCGGTATCCGTGGGGTCGACCGCACAGGCGTGCATAAAAGGGGAGACGACGCGCACTGGCTCCCCAGATTTGTCTTCTTCTTCGGAGCTCATTGACAGCGAGTGCACTGGTTGGTGAGTATCATAGCGTGCGCTCTTGCCGATGTTGATGTTGACCGAAGTCTTCCACCGGTAGCCTTGCTTGATTTCTTACGTCCAATCTAACGAGTACGACCCTTCGACGACCACCCAGTCCATCCTCATCCGACCTCCATCCTTTTTCTGTCCCCATATTCCCCACCGTACTTGCTCAGATGCGTTTGTCCAGCTTCCTCCCTCTTGCCCTCGTCGCGGTAGCTTCTGTTGGGGTGGCACGTCCTGTCGATGACTACATGTTCGCGTAGGTCGTCCTTAAGCCCTGACTCGAGCTTGTTCTAACGCTCGCCCTCGGACTAGTGCTCGCAGCGATGGCGAGCAAGCTCTGTCGGAGCGCGATCTCCAGATCCTCGACCACTTCGCACGGGAATACCTAGCGGCCCGCAGCGATGCTGACCTCTACCTGGAGGCACGCGAGGACTTCGACTCCGTCGACCTCCTCGAACGGGAGTATTTCGAACCTGGATTGGTCGCCCGTGGCCCGCTCGACCAGCCACAGCGCGAACACTTCAAGACGTTCGACGAGTACGAGAAGGCGTGGATCGCCTGGAATCGCAGGATGCGGAAGATAGACCACTCGTCGCAAAAGGCGCTCAAAAAGAACGCGGCGGCATACAACAAGGAACAGGGTAAATCGAAGGGTGTGCTGAGCAAGCTGTTCGGCAAGAAGAAGCAGTAGGGGACGTAGCTGGGAGACGGGATGACTACTAGGTCGTTTATCGCTCGTTCAACGGCGAATAAAATCCCTTCAAACATCTCTGTATGTGTACCGTGACCGCCGTACCAGCTAGTCACCGCCGACAACGGGCTCTGCCTCGACCCCGAGGAGACGATGGCCGACGGCAAGCACCGCATGGTCAATTCCTTGGTTGTGTCCTGTAACTGGTTGTGCATGTGGCTGGCCTCGCCGAGGTCATGATCCTGTGTCTAACGCAGTGAGTATCGACGTGGTTGTATCTTAGACATGGCCTACAGAACGTGGGTGAAGCTGTAAGCCATGAACCAATTTCGCCGGACACGATCATGTCGACAGGACTATGAGCCGTACCGGCGGCGTAGTATGCAGATCATCGCTGAGGTTAGGATGATCATGCCCAGCGCTCGGGCCCATGAGCGACGTCAAGAGGCGGGCGAGAACAAAGTTTCAGACATGGTTTGAGCGATGTAGGTGTGCGGTACTTACTGCGACGCGTCTGTGGCCAGCGCGTGACAATATGCACGTGGTGCTGCGTGACAAGCGCGTCTGTTACATATACCTTTCGGTCACAAACGCGTTCTCGCCGTTCGACGCGTCTGCCTCTCTCAGTCTGCCTCCATCTCTCTCGCCCCGCGCCACACCTCTTGCTCACTACCCAACATGCTCGAAGCGCGTCTCAACGAGGCAGCTATTTTGAAGCGTCTGCTCGATGGTGCGTCCGACGCGCGTGGCACCCAACCCTGACCGCTGACCACGGCCTGCAGCCATCAAAGAGCTCGTCACCGACGCCAACTTTGAGTGCAATGAGGAGGGCCTGGTGCGTGGAACGCGTCCCTTTTACGCGTTATTTGCTGATATCTAGCATCCTCTTGTGTCACGCAGAACCTCCAAGCAATGGACAACTCGCACGTCGCGCTCGTCGCGGTCAACCTCAAGGCCTCGGGGTTCAAGCGGTACAGATGTGACCGCCCCATCCCTCTCGGCGTGAACCTCGCGTCGTTCACGAAGGTTCTCAAGTGCGCGAAGGACGACGACGTATGCATTCTCAAAGCGAACGACGACGCGGACGTGCTCAGCCTGACGTACGAGGCGCGAAGTAAGTCGTGGCGCGCCTAACCCTGCGCTCCGAACTAACCTGCACGCGTACGCGCACAGACACGGACCGGATCGCGGAGTACGAGATGAAGCTGATGGACATCGACGCGGACGCGCTGAACATCCCTGACACGGACTACGACGCGCGCGTCACGATGCCTGCGAACGAGTTCGGCCGCATCGTGCGCGATCTCTCGCAGCTTGGCGAGTCCGTCCGCATCGAGGTTTCCAAGGAGGGCATCCGCTTCATCAGCGACGGCGAGGCCGCCAACGGCAACATCCTCCTCCGCGACACCCAGGCGAGCTCCCGCAAGGGCGGCGCGTCGTCGTCGAAGAAGGACGAGGAACCAGAAGAGGAGGACGAGCCAGAGGAGGAAGACGAGGACGAGGAGAAGCCTAAGAAGAAGATCAAGAAGGAGAAAGTCAAGAAGGAGGAGGGTGAGGGTGAGGACGTGGAGATGAACGAGGATGGGGAAGATGAAGAGGAACAGGAGTTCAAGCCGAAGGGCGGAGATGAGGACGAGGACGAGGACGATGAACAGGAGGAGTCTTCGAGCAAAAAGCGCAAGAAGGCGCCGGCGAAGGTATGTGTCAGGTAGCGCTCTGTGGATGTAACCTCATGCGGCGCTGCAGAGCTCCAAGCCTTCCAAGAAGGCAAAGAAGGACGACGACGACGAGCTGGCCGATGGCGTTAAGATCGAGATAAACGCCCACGTCAACCTGACATTCAGCTTGAAGTACCTCGTCAACTTTTCAAAGAGTGGCTCGCTATCAAACATCGTGCAGCTCATGATGAGCAACGACGTTCCTTTGCTAGTGCGTTTCCCCCCGATTCAGATCACCATCAGGTTGTTGATCGGGCTCCCTAGGTCTCGTATGAGTTCGGCCAAGGCCACATCCGGTACTACCTCGCACCCAAAATTGGCGATGACTGAAACCATCGTACACATCTATATCTCCTTGTCGCGTCTGGTCGTAGCTAATTGCATTTGCTGTGTATTGAACTTTGCTCATCACTAGTCTGTCTACTGTGCGGGCATGTTGCATGCAGTACAGGGACGTACCCACGGAAGCCCTAGGCGTCTCCTGGGCCAGTCAAAACCACGCTGAATACCGGACATCGCGTATGGAACGACTGCAGCATCGTGGATTGTCTCCCTTCCAATATTGTTCTCTTCCACTATGCGGAATGTACATTTTTCCTCGTTCCTGGCTGTTCGCGACGAATCCTGGGCGTTTCACAGTGTGTGCGACTGGACAGTGTCTTGCAAACTCGCGCTGAGCGTCGATTGAGCTCAGTGACAGGTGTACTTGCGTATGCATGATGCCAGTGCTCTGTGACAACACCAGGAATCCAAAGATTGTAGATACCGCTACCCCTTCCTCCCTACGACGTGGGTGAGTATGCCCATGAACGAGTTTAGGTCCGTCGAACCTTCGTACCACGCTGTGCACGAGCTCACCAAGCTTTTGTACTGCGGCAGTCTCTTTCCTTTCGGTTTTAGAGCTACTGTCGGGGAACTTGCAGTTCTACGACACGAGATCAAGCCCAGATTCTCTCCACCTGCTCGGGGTCGCGCACCCGCTCGGTCTGGCGATACCCTTCAAGTCACCTTGGCCACAGGCCCACGAGGGTATTCTGCCCAGGCGGCTGTTAACGTGCATGACCCCTTGATGTGTGCCGTAGGCTAATGGCAGAGCGTCCGGCGGATGTTTCGTATCTATGTGGTGCATCCACAATGAATTGTTGTATGATCCTGACGTTGCCGTTCAATCCAGCCTCAGCTCGTAGACTTCTTCAGTGCTTTCACGGTGGGTCCGTTCCCTTGTACCAAATTCTTGAGCTTAACACATTATGGTTGCCAGTTCGACCAATGCCCGCTCTCACTGAGTCATTAAGTGACGGCTGGCCGATTCGCGTTTACACTGAGCAGATCGAGGACCATGTTCAGTCTCGCCGATACGTTGGCTCATCGTCAACGAAATAGTATCGTTGCAACTTGAACAGCTTGTACATGCTTAATGGCAACCGCGGTGAATTCATCCGGTATGCCCAGCCCTTGTCTGTCCGCAATAGTATAACCTGATCGAGTGTTTGAATCGCACATTACAGTCCGCCCGGCCAACGCAATGACAGGATGAAGCAACGCATCTTACGTGCATGTGGGCTGAGCTGTGGAGCCCAAGTCGGCCGCACAAATATCGCGATCCAAGCACATCCGAAGCAGGCGTACTGTGTCAAAGCCCAGCCCTCTATGCGCAAGGACAAGGTCAAAGTCCGCTGCGACTGGGATGGATGTATGCTCGAAGTAATCAACTTCTGGATGCATATCCACGAGCGTTACACGCATCCGATCCGCACGCAAACCGCGATGCGGGCAATGCGGGCAGGAGGACATGCGGCCGGGTCACTGCGCAGGCACCATGATAACCCTTTCGTACTCATCGTCGCCGAGCTGCGGCGTTAATGTGAGTTGCTACTTTAATCTGACATGTTGAGCAACAGTTGACGAGCATCGTAAACCCGTGGCTTCGCCACGGGCTCAGGCTGACGGGGCAGCTTTTTCATACAATGCTTCAGGACCTGTCTTGGTCACTTGTTGTGCTATTCCTTAGCCATGCCTGTTTGCTATCAACCGAACAGCACTTGTAGTACTTCCGTAGTTACGCATGAGCTATTGGTAGAAAGAAATCATCGCGTCGATGCTACTTCAGACCGGCATGCCAAGGTTCTTGATATCAACTTGGACTTTGGCATGCGTCCCCGGTGCGCTATGTAAAGGAGAGCCAGCTCAAACGCGTCTGACGTACATGAGATTGCTGATACGGCAGGAGTCCTTGCTCGCCTTCAGCATTCCTGATTATTTCTTTGCATGTGTTCTTCTTCACGCATTACTTAGCACTGCGTTAGTGCAACTATGATGCGGACCTGCACTGCCTAGACCATATAGAATACCCTCCCAGCAAAGACCAAGGCTACGCTTCGGCCTCGCTAAAACTACACATCGCTGCCTTCGAGCCTAGCTTAGGTTCAGGTCACGGCAGCATCGAATAACATCGCACGAGTGCCCTACGGACGCCCTGCAAGTAGAGCCGTGTGCACCGATGCCCACAATTTTGCGCTTCAAGCATGCGAAACGACATGGAGAAAGACCGCGTTAGGTCACTTGCGTGACTGTTTAGTTGAACATTGAGGAGGCGCCCGGTCGCGGTTGTTACACGAGGCGCGCGTAGCCCCAAAAAGGCAACAGCCAATAGCCGGGCGACGCGCGCTCGAACGTCTTGTCTTCGCCCAACGACCGCCCCGTTCCCAACGTGTCCTCCGCCGCCGCCGCTCTCGACGCGCTCAAGTTTCCTCCTCAACGACCATCGTAACGATCTCACGAGAACTCACAGCGCGAATGCCAGTCCCTCTCACACAAGGTGCGTGCTGTTCCAACGCGCCACCATCGCCTGCTCACCGCGTGCCAGCAGGTCCCGAAGAGAACTGGGACGACGACTTCGAGTTCAACCAGCGCAACTCGCGCGGCGATGGTGCCCTACCTGACGGCGCACGCGCAGAGCCCACGACACCGCTCTCCAAGGACCGCAAAAACACGCTGAAGCGTTGGACCGAGGCGGGCCCTTCCACGCCGTCCAAGCGGTCGTCCGAGCAGCACGAGAACTGGGACGACGACTTCCGCGACAGCACAGACTCGCCGGCGCGTGGGCGGCCGCGCGTGCAGCACGCCGCGACGGACGAGCACGAGAATTGGGACGAGGACTTTGCCGACGGCGGCCGCTCGCCCAAGGGCAAGGCGAGGTGGGGATCGTCAGACGACGAGGAGGACGACTACGGGTTCGCTGCGTCGGAGGAGGACAGGACGGTTACGTCCAAGACGCGCGGTGTGCCCCTGCATTTCGGTGAAGTCCCTCCAGTTCCTCCCCTGCCCTCGTCCCTCCCGCACTCGCCGACGCCATCGGTGTTCTCCATGCCGGTCTCGTCCAATGGCCATCGCGACTCTATGGCGTATTCAACGGCATCGCACACCCATCTGCTCTCGACGGGCAACTCGGCGCTTGCGCTCCTCCCTCCAAGCCCGCCCATTCACCGCGAGCGGAGACGTCTGCGCAAGAAGTCAAGACCCCCGCCAAATGGGGCCCCAGGCGTGTACGAGCTGGAGGAGCTCCCTGACGACCTCGGCCAAGCACTGACACAGGCGCCCACGACGCCCGAGAAGCGTGCCAGTCTCTCGCTCGAGGACCTACCCCCCGAAGTCCCGCCGCCCATCACCCCCGGTCCCTCTGCCGGCTCAAGCAAGACCCCGCTGCTTTCGCGCATCGGCTCGGTCGGCAAGAAGTGGGGAGCGGGTCGCAAGAAACGCGCGAGTACGGGGCCGACGGAGGTCGCGCTGCAGGAGCACCACTCTGAGAGGGCGCGGGAGCCCGAGCGCGGGCGAGAGCAGGTCTCGCGTCCGCAGTCCGTCGCGGGATCCATCCCCTCGTCACCACCAGCCACGTCGCAATCGAAGGGGAGCTGGTTTTTTCGCGGTGGCGGCGGCGGTGGGCCGGGGCCTCCGCCTCCCGCTCCGGTGACGCTCGAGCACAAGACTAGTGTAGACCGCCTGCTGGCCATGGCGGGCATCGAGCGCACTCCACCGACGTCGCCGCGTAAGGGCAAAACGCACTCGAAGGACCTCAATACCGACAACACGGGCTCGATCAGGCTTACGGATGGCAGCACTGTGTCTTCGTCGGCTCTCTTTTTCGGGACGCCGAAGCGGAAACCGTCCCGACCCATGTCAGTACAGGCGCCGCAGCTGCAGCCCTCGAGCTCGCAGGGGTCGAGCTCTGGGTCAAGCTGGGCGAGCTCACGTCCGCCTGTTCCGCGGCACGCATCGTACGGGCACGACCTCGGCAGGAGGCCAGCGACGCCGAGCAGTCGCGCGAGCTCCAAGCAACGTTCAGCATCCGCGAGCGTGGCATCAGCCAGTGTGGAAGATGTGAGTAGGAGCGATCGCAGCATGACCGTTCGCGAGGGCCGGCGGGACCGAGGCCCACATCGACGGCGTGTCACAGACTCACAGGGCCCATCGGAAACCGAGTCAGCCGAACAGGAGTCGATCAAGACGAAGGAGGGCAGTCGAAGCTTCATGGGCGGGATGCGGCGCATCAGCCTCGGCGCGACGAGCAAGCACAAGCGCACACCCAGCAAGGTGCCCGAGCAGCAGACGCGCAAGTCGTCCGGTGCTGCGACTATTCGCGCCGAGAAGGAGCCGGCGGAGGACACGACACCTCGGCCGCCGTCGAGGGTGATTCGTACGTCGCAGGATGCGCCTCTCCTCCCGCCCATCGAGCTCCAACCTCCATCACCCCCACGCGACGCCAGGCGTGACCACTTAGACTTGAGCAAGCTCTTCAAGCCACACCCAACACTCGAGCCGTCCCGCTCTCATCCAGCGCTCTCGTCATCCCGCTCGGCGACCCCTCTGGCATCTCGTCCCTCGGCAGAGGTCGTACCTTCGATGTCGCCCATCCCATCACCACTGCCGTCGCCCACGAAATCGAAGCTTGCGTCGTCTCCGGGGCAGGTAGCGTCGTTAGGTAGGGCAACGCAACCTCCGAAGGAAGTGGAGAATGTCGGGAGTGGATCCGTCCCGAGAAGGAATTCGTTGGGCGATCTGAAGATCCCTGCGAGGATCAGTCAGGCACAGGTCGGACTGCGTAGGGATCTCGGGATGGTACGGGAATTTGCAGCCAGCATTGAGCGTGAGCACACAGTTCCTTTGTCGTCTTTCGTATGACTGAATCGATTCTGCCGTCCACAGAATTGAAGCAGCTGCAACAGACGTACCATTCGCTTGTCGGCGAAATCCAGTCCGTTATGTACGGCGAGCAACCTCCTGGCGCACCGTCTCGGGCTCTCACACCCACCCTGTTCGGCTTGCCAAAGCCATCCTCAAGAGTACGCTCGAACACCAATCCGGCCCCTTCGCCCGTCCCGCAGTCACCTCACGAGCTCATTATCGTGTTCCACTCCGTCGAAAGCAAGTACCAGATATCGTGGGAGTGCGCAGAGTTACTTATTGAGCTGGGGAGCGGTGCACCTCCACACCCTTCGTCCGCACCGACGCCTGACCCAGCGTCTACTTCAGCACCCGCTATCTTGCCTGACGGTCGAAAAAGCCGTGAACGGGCTGTCACTCTCGCAGGTGATGAACCCAAGCCTATCATAATTGCACCTGGGACGGTGAGCTCTCCCCCACTTGCGAGTCCGCCGAATACAGCGCAATGGCGTGCGTCGACCGGGAGACACGACCTTAGTTCTCGGCAGCTGCTTTTGCTCCGTGACATGCTCAATAACACCGACAGCTCCGCGACGATGGATTCACGTCTACCTATTCCGGAAGAGGACTGGAGCTCGGCGCAAGTGAACCGTACGTGGCACTGGGGTGATCCCATGAGTAGCACTGTCACGCTTCCTAGCGAGGACAGCACTCAGGTGAGCGGCTTGGGCGCGTCTGCAGCAGCCGCTGCCGCCAAGAAGCAGAAGCGGAGGAGCAGCAAGTTAGGCATGCGCGGGATTCGAGACATGCTAAAGAGTTTGAAGAAGAGCTACGCCGAGAACCCCCCGACATCGCTGTCACCTATTCCTCCGTCCACGACGTCTGTCTCTGCTAGCACTGGGAGCTCGATCAACAACATGGGCACGGAATCCTGGCACCAGAGTCTGGTACAAAGGAGACGTGCCAAGACGAGTACAGGTCCCGAGTCGATGAAATCCACGCGAGAACGTGATCGTCACCCGAACTCGCCCTACGCAACGTCCATGTCCCTCCACCGATCATCTCCTCGCCGTCCCTCCCTAGCGTCGATCTTCCGTATCGGCCAGAAGAACAAGTCTCACGCAGGCAGCAACGAACAGTCGTCTGATGACCTGCGCTCGTCGAACCCGAGCTCCGCCACGTCAGGCGGGGCTAGCGGGCTGACGGAGGAAGACGGCGAGGAGGATTGGGATCAGGTCGAGTCCGCGTTTGATTTGGAGCGGGCAGCACGCATGCTGGAAAAATCAACAGCAACAGATACGACAGGTACTGCCACTGTCCGTGGACGCCTGAGGAAAGACAAAGGCAAGTCACCGTACCTCACCCAGCGACATCCCCACGATCGAGACCGCCACGGCCGCCCTATCACACCGCGCTCTCCCGAAGCTTCGCAATCGTCGGTGTGGAGTAATGAACCGTCACCACATTCTACCTCAGCCCTTCCTCCGTCGTCTATCCTTGGCTCACCGACCTCGCGCCTCAAACAATTGACCAGCAGCCGAAAAGCTCGCCCACCTTCCCGAGGCACCGAACGTACTACTGGGCCCAGCCCGAGCCCAAGTAGTCGACGACAGTCCAGCGGGTCGCGACAGCGTGTCCCTAAGGGTGGTCAGACCGGAAGTGTGCGCTCCGCGCCGCCGCAAGTAGTCACAGATCCGGAAGCTGGCTCGGGCTTGGCAGAACTGGGTGACTCAAAATTGGCGATGACGCCAGAGAACATCCGGCCGCTGCTCGAGAATGCACGGGAAGTGCATGCGCGATGCAGCGAGTGCATCGTCGAGCTGAGATCGCTACTCGCAACGAGTGTCCAACTCGTCGGATCCGCGCCGTCCTCGGCACCGTCCAGAGCGACGTCGCCCTTAGGCCCTCATCCCTGACGTACGCGTCTGCTCATACCACTTCTTATTTCACGTACTTATTCTCTTACATTGGACATTCGTTCTGATACACCCTGCATCGTGCATTGGTATCCTTCCTCTGCGAATCATCGCCCTTCTGTTTCTCCTCATCGTCGTTATTACCTCTGCTCTCGCAACGCTATCCTGCTGCTCAGCGCATTCACGGTACATCATGTAGAGTCACGCGCATTTATGTGTCATATAACGACTGCATCTTCACGTATATCATGCTTTTTACGCCGGACATGTGCCTGTCCAGCGAGATGGAGGATGCCGAACAGTATCGGGGGGAGGATAAATCGGTATGGACATGATCACTTCCTATTGCCTACAATTAACAACACAAGAACAGAGGAGTTCACTGCGTCCTCTGATGCTCCTTCGCTGTCCACGTAGGATGGCGTCCTACGAGGAGGCGGTAGGTCCATGTGTGGTCTCGTTTGATTGGCCCCATTCCGGCTAGCTTCATCGATACGCGACTCGACGCAGGTGGCTTCCTCACCTTCATACGCCACTCTGGGATCTGTAAGAACCGCTGACATTACTCAACATCAGTTGCTGGGCTCACCGGTCTTTGCGATAGGTGGAAAATGGCCAACATCGGACGTGCGCCGAAGGCGGGCGATGACTGGACTCCGAATGACCTCCTGGCTTACAACATCCGAATTATCTATGAAGACAGTACAAGTTTCTTCGATACGTCGCATCTGTCTCTTCCTCAGGGCGATCATGTTAAAGAGGTCCTCAGTGTGCCGGATGCCTCTACCGCGGAGCACGACGATTCCTATACATTTCTCCGTACCATGGAGCTTGCCATGACCCCTCGAGGCTGCAACGAGGAATTTGCCGTCGTCGATTTTGTTGTTGCACTGTTCAGGCTTCTCGGTTTCGTTGGCCGAGCTGCGGGTAGAATCACTAGGACGAGGAAGGACCTGCCGTTCTGGATATGCGGTCAGGAGAGACATGCCATGGCGGATGTCTGTATCGTAGACGACGCCAACATCACACGCTTTCTCGTTCAAGAAGACAAACGGCATGCGGATCACCCCGATTCAGAGCCTCAGCTCATTGCGGTCGCTGTCGCTGCCTTCTCCAACAACAATCACGCACGCATCCGCTGTCTCGGCGCAAGCGCACTCGCCAGCGAGGTCATATGCGGGATTATAATGAAGGGCACGATGCCTACGTTCTACAGGATCCCCATCACCCTCGACCTTGTTCGTGCTGTTCAAATGGGCGAATATCCCGCACGAGAGACAGTTGTCTTCGCTCATGTACCTGCAGTGCCGCGGCCGGCTCGCCGTTACATCGAGGGTATGACCCCCTTGGACAATCGCGCCGTCGTCCTCGCGTGCTTCGAGGAGATCAAACATTGGCAGTTCCTCTGAGGTACCATCTTGCTCAGGTCTGTCGTCCAAGTTTCCGCTCGCATTCATGTCAAGCAGCTCATCGTCTTAGTAGAGCTCATCACTGCATAGCCGGATGTATCATGGTAACCACACGATGCGATCATGTCGAGTCGGGTTGGAAGTGCGCATCCCGGCATTGTGATTGTGCTTCTGCCAACAGCGAGTAGTACATCGTCACAGTGGAACATTGAAATCGCACCAGCAGGGCAAAGGAGATACGAGCAAAGACGTGCAAACGACTGAATGTATCATACCAAAGAACCGACGCACCGACTTGAGTTGGAGCGACATCTGCCAGCCTTTCCGACAGACCCATGATCACATCTGACGGTCTTACCAGCGTATCACTGAAGCACCACACTCCAGGTTCCCCGGGAGGGCCGACACGAAGCGTTTGGGCGTGTGAGCTGCGGATCCCCTGGATGATCACGCAGATGGGCAGGCGCGATCCATCTCCTGTCGACGTCGACGACGTCGCGGTCGGTGTCACTCCAGCCGTGGACTCGGGCGAGCGTTGTGATTACTGGGCTGGACGCGAACGCGCTTCGCGTTGCCTCGCGCCGGCGGGAACGCTCGGGGCACGGTCCACACGATGCGGACGAGAACAGCACCCGACCGCGTCGAGGCCAAGATCGAACGGTCGACCACCAGCATCACACAACAACACACCGAAGGACGAGATCCGAACAACCCAAAGCCGGATGCAATCGATTAGTACACTGACTAGGTAGCTACAACATAGACCGATCTAATAAGCATACGCGTGATGATGCAATGTCGCTGATTACTGAGGTACCGGGACGCCTTATTCCGGGGAGACGAGGTGAGATGCAGAAGCGGCAAGTGGAAGGTGACTAGGGCTATAAACATAGTGCGTGCGCAGGAAGCAATAACGTTAACGTGCGAGAGCGCGACAGGCGGCGGTCGTGGTAGACCAGCGCCGGGGTGGGTATGTGGGGCGCGGCGGGCGCGGGGCCTGGCAAAGGCGGCGCGGCGCGCGTGAATGGAACTCGCCCGTGCTCGGCGAGGATGCGGTGCGAGACGGACACCTGGTACAACGGATGGGCAGGCGATCACGGACGGCGGTGTCGCAAGGCGTCGAGGGGGGACCCATCTTGAACGAACACTTGCAGACGTCGCGCCGACTAGATGACGTTGACGCTCTGGAGGTGCGCGCGCAGGATGCCCTCGCGAACTGCGGGCGACGTCAGCGCCGCGGACGACAAAGCAGTGCAGTCACTCACCGCCCACGAGGATCGCGGCCGTCGAGCGCGTGTCCTGTCGCATGACAGAGTGGTCAGTGCACGACGACACCGGCGGGACGAGCGCGAATTTGACTTACGACGACGGACGTTTCGTGCCAATAGAAGGAGCGCGCCTGCGGGGACAGCCGCTTGTGATACCCCCGGAACTTGTCCCGAAAGTCTAGCGTCGGCGCAGCGCAGTCAGTACGCGTACCGCCGGACGTGCGCGCGGATGGGACGCACACTTTGTGACGTGTTGCACGTCGTTGGGCTGGTCGCCGTAGCTGGGGACGAACTTGTTGACGCGGATGCCAGCGGCGAGCGTCGCTTGCAGGATGTCCATCTGCGGTGGTGTAAGTACATGTTCGAGACGAGACGGGCAGCGTCGGCGCCGGGCAATGAGCCGCCGTGTCGCACCGCGCGAGGAACATCATCAGTGATGTCGAGTGTCGATCAAGAACACAAGGTGAGCGCGGACATGCATGTCAGCGCATGTCACGCCAGCCACGAGCATGGCGTCCGCGCTGTCGGAGCGCTGGCAGACGGAGGAGGGAGGAAGGGCACGCACCTTGTTGAGGAAGAGTATCAGCGTCGTCTTGGCGAGGAGCGGGTTCTGGCAGATCTCCTTCCAGAGCATGATCGAGTCCTCCTGCACGCGCGCGTCAGTCACCGCGCACCGCATGGCGGCTCATCGCACGCACCAGGCGGTTGACCTTGGAGTCCTCCTCGAGCATGAGGTTGAAGGCGAGGGGCGCGAGGAAGATGATGGCCTGGATGTCGTCAAAGTACGGGATCCACATTGGGCGGTTGTTCCTGCTGCCGCCGACGTCGTAGATGTACCACTCGGAGCCGGGGAGCGCGCCGCTCTCCATCGTGAAGCGGTGCTCCTCGACGCCGAGCGTGCGCAGCCGCGCGCGCACGATGTCCTCTGTAGGATGCGAATGAAGTCAGGCAGCGAGAGAAGGGCGGGCGACGCACCGTCGGTGGGCTCGTAGTTCATGGTCGCGATGCGCGCGGCGTCGTTGAGGAAGCTGCGCGCGTGAGTGGGGCTCGGAGAGGGAACGGCGGGCGACGCACAATCCGGGCATGTCCTGCAGGCGCACGGCGCGCCGCTTGAGGACGGCGCGCACGACGGGGTCCTCCCAAAGGGCGATGATGTCGTCCCTGCAGGCGGCGAGGACGGCGGTGGGGTCGTCCTTCTTGCCGTCTGCGGTGCTCGGGCGTCGTGGCTCCTTGCTTGCGCCGCCGTCCTGCTGGAGGCCGGCGAGGAGGCCCTTCCAGCCGCTGCCGGCGCGGACGCAGACGTCCTGGAGGCGGTCGTTGGCGTCGGGGAGGAGGCGGCGGGTGAGCTGCTCTTCGATGGGGACGAGGGGCGAGAGGCGCATGCGCATGCGGCGGTGCTGGTCGGTGAGGGGCGAGGTGCTGAAGCGGACGGTGGCCTTTGGCGGGGAGCGGCCTGCGGCGGCGAGGGCGGAGGGCGGGTTGGGGGCGAGGGCGGCGGCCTTGGCCTTGCCCTTGTCGGGGGCGCCGGTGCGGAGGGGCTGGGTGGAGTCGTCCCATTCTTCCTGGAGGACCTCGAGGAGGCGCTTGATGGATCTGGAGGGGGTGAGCGGGCGGAGAGGAGTGGGACGGCGGACGGACCGGATGAGGTTGAGCTGGACGATGGTGCGCCAGGCGGTGCGCTCGCTGCGGAAGTGCTGGGGGGAGAAGGCGAGCTGGAAGTCTGGGGCGGGTGAGTGGGTGCGCGCGCGGAGGAGCGGGAGACGGACTCTTGAGGGTGGTGCTCTTGCCGGACTCTGCCTGGCCTGGGCGGGGTCAGCGGCGGCGGGCAGAGTGGTCGGCGCACGGGGACGCACCGAGGAGGAGAATCTTGATGGCCTTTTTCCTGCGCTCGAACGCCTTGCGGCTCTCCTGGATGTCCTCGTCAATCTTGTGGCTGATGGCCTGTGCGTCCTTGAGCTGCTGGAGGCGGCGCGCGCGGTCGGCGGGGGACTCGTCGGGCGGGGGCTGGAGGGCCTTGCTGAGGGGGTCGTCAGCGTCGGAGGAGGCGAAGAGGGAGGAGGCCATGGCACGGGCGAGAGCAAAGGAGCGGGGACATGGACAAGCGGCGATCACAGCGGCGCACACAGCCCAAGCTGCCTATCACCCATCAATCCTGCACTGCCTCTGTCCCACGCCGCGGGCAGTTGCCGGAGGAGGAGGAGGAGAGGAGAGGAGTCGCCGCCGCCGTCGTAGTCGCCGTCGCCCACGCCGCCGCCGCGCACGGGCCGTGTCTCCCGCGCACTCGCGTCTCCCGCGCACTCGGCCGCGCACGCCTCGCCGCCGCCGAGAACTGCGCTAGGGTTAGGACCGCCATGTCGTCCATCCACGCCGTCAAGCGCGCCCACGCGCACCTCGCCTGGGACAACAGGCACGTCGTCCGCTCCGCCGCCCGCCCGCGCTGACCGCCCGCAGCATCCCGCCCGCCGTCCGCGTCCACTCCGGCGACACCGTCGCCTTCGACTGCCTCGACGCCTCCAACGGCCAGCTCGCCCCCGCCAGCACCCCCGCCTCCGTCGCCGCCCTCGACTTTGCCCGCCTCGACCAGGTCAACGGGCCCGTCTACGTCGAGGGCGCTGCCCCCGGCGACGTCCTCCAGGTCGACGTCCTCGCCATCGCGCCCTCCGTCCCCTGGGGCTGGTCCGCCAACGTCCCCGGCTTCGGCCTCCTCGCCGCCGACTTTCCCCGCCCCGCCCTCAAGATATGGCAGCTCCACGACTACGCCCACGGCGCCGGCTACGCCGCGTTCGACGACCACAGCGGGATCCGCATCCCCCTCCGCCCCTTCGCCGGCGAGATGGGCGTCGCCCGCGCCGCCCCCGGCCCCCACTCCACCATCCCGCCCTACGCCACCGGCGGCAACATCGACACCCGCCATCTCACCGCCGGCTCCACGCTCTACCTCCCCGTCGAGGTCCCCGGCGCGCTCTTCTCGATGGGGGTGCGTCTTTCTTCGCGTCCACGACTAGCACCTGACTCCCGCTCCCAGGACGGCCACGCCGCGCAAGGCGACGGAGGTGCGCACCCTCCACGCTTTCCATCCCCGCGTCGCACTGATCCCACGCCGCACAGAGGTCTGCGGTACGTGACCCTGCCCGCTACCCTCTGACTCTCTGAACCGCCCCAGGCACCGCCATCGAGACGTCCATCCGCGCCTCCGTCCGCCTCACCGTCCTCAAGCACCCCGCCCGCACCGCCGTCGTCAACACGCCCCACTTTTCCACTCCCGCCGCCCCTGCGCAGGCGTACTACTGCACCACCGGCGTCGATCCCGGTCAGTCCACCCTCGCCCGCAGCCTGCGCGGCACACCCCGCCATCGTCCTGACACCGTCTGCGCAGACATCCGCGAAGCCGCCCGCGCCGCAGTCCGCCACATGATCGCCCTCCTAGCAGTAGAGCACGGCCTCGAGCGCGAGGACGCGTACATCCTCTGCAGTGTCGCCGGAGACCTGCGCATGCACGAAGTCGTCCGTCGCGTCTCCCTCTGTCTCTGTCGTCGGTGCTGACGGGCGCACAGGTCGACATGCCCAATTACGTGGTACGTCTCGCGCACGTCTCTTCCCGCACATCGACGAGACTCGACCTAGATCGGGATGATGATGCCCAAGAGCATCTTCACAAAGCCAGGGCAGACTGGTGTCCTTTCAGCAACACATGTATAGTAGGCACGACTGTAGGCAGGGGAGTGGGTGAAGGGGGTGGGCTTCATGTCTCCCAATTTGATAGTAAACTTGGTGATTGTTCTCTGGGGCCCTCATGATGTGATGGCCTGAGAACAAACAAAAATTGGTACACAAGTGCAAGTGTCCTGGGTGTGGACAATACCCAAAGGGCAATCACATAAGCCTTGAGGTATGTTGTTTACTTGCTGAGGGTGGAGCTGTTAGGGTTAGAGGCTTGATAGCCTCAGAGTGCACAAACATGTGTGAAGGTTTGTTATGTGCTTATGCGACTTTCCTTATCTTTCATTGAATGGACATCAATGTAGTGCTTTCATTGTTTTAGTACCGAGGTATTGATTACCGACATTTTAATGCTTTAGAAGCATGTGTTACTGTATCTACTAAACGGACTATTCCCAAGTTTCTAGTGTGTTCTTACTCGTTATGACCAGATGCTTTCAGCACTGATACAAGAGCTATTGTATGCTCAGTAAATGATGGTTATTCCCCCAGGAGGGCCTCACCAATACTGGTGAAGTCCTGCGCAGACCTCTACGTGGTCCTGGGGGACAAGTAGTCCACAAGGACGAAACCAACATGTGCTAAAAGGGCAGTGTACGCAAAGCCTGCAACACTGAGGGACTATCACATCCCTACGATATCCTAAAATGGACCTAATATGGGCAAAGAACAACCTCAAAAGATAGTACAACATGTACACCGTGTCCATACCACATAAAACCACCAGTCCTAGACACCATCCATCACAGCAATCACCAACACAACTTAAGTGCCGACCCTGAACAAACCGGAGGGAACCATAGCGCTGACACCAGAATAACATGGCAACCCCACCAGAACCATGGCCAATCAAACAGCCAAATTTATGACGTAACCACATGAGACTGAGACACGACAGGTCACAGCCTGCTACTTCACACCAACTGGTATGCGAAGCGTGACACCTAGAGCACTAGCTCTAACCCTAAATGTAGGGACCTTAGGTTCTAATTGTCCTTGGATGGGGAGGATGGTCTGAGATGCTGCTAAGTCCGTCTAGCAGGTCTAGTGGGGAGTTTCTGATATCCAAGGAGCTGGTAAAGCTTTAATAGGGGTCAGTTAGGAATTAATTACAAAAGAGGGTACTGGATTGTCCGGCTGAAAGGTGGTATGTAGGACGTCTATATCATGTAGATGATGGGTGCAAAGTTTCAGGGAAATCAGCAGACCGGTTTTCAAGCAGTGGGCAATTCTTTTTGTTAATAGGCGCATTTTTGCTATGTGCAGAGCCACAACAACAGCACTTGGCAGGAAGCTTGTTTATAGCAAAATGCTTCATTTGTATGTGTGACCATTGGTGCCAAGCCACTTGGCGATTGGAGGTCTGATGCTGGTGCTATGGGCAAAAAATGTGTACCATGGGCAGGAGGGCATATTCTAGGAGACCAAGGAAGGGGATTTGGGGGTAGCTTCTTTATAGCTCATATGATCCATTAGTATGTAGGACCATGGGTACAAAGGTTGGGAGCCATAGCTGCAGCCGTTCCTTCTCAGTTGGCAGGCCTGTCAGCCAAGGCAGAGGAGGCCATGACCACTAGCATGTGAACCACTACAATTCTGGGGTACATTCTTTATAGCCAATATGATCTATTTGTATGTAGGATTATGGGTATCAAATTTGGGAGCCACAGCTGCAGCTGTTCTCGATTTGTTGGTGGCCTGTCAGCCAAGGGGAGGAGGCCATGAACACTAGCATGTGAACCACTAAGATCTCAGGGTAGGTTCCTTATCGTCAATATGGTCCATTCCTTTGTAGGAATACGGGTATGAAGTTTGGGAGCAATAGCTGCAGCCGTTCCTTCTCAGGTGGCGGGCATCCCAGTCAAGGGGGAGGGCCGTGACCACTAATATGTGAACTGCTACAATGTTGGGGAAAGTTCTTTATAGTCAATATGGCCCATTGATATGTAGGATTATGGGCACCAAATTTGGGAGCAATAGCTGCAGCTGTTCTTGTTTGGTTTGCGGGCATCTCAGCCAAGGGTGGGGCACGACCACTGGCACACAACCCACTAAGAATTTGCGCAAGATTCCTTGGATTGATTATTCTGGGAGCAATAGATGTGATTGTTCATGCTTGGCAGGTGGGCATATTGTGTAGGGGGAGGACCATGTCCACTAGTATGCAACCCACTGGGATTTTGGACACACCTTTGTGCTGTATAGATCATCTATGCCTGATGTAGTGATGTGGCTCAGAAACTCCCCATATTGCTGGTCATACTGTCAAAGTCTGCCATATCGCTATCATATTGCATCAAATTGAAATCCATCATATCATCATCCCCATCCATGTATCCATTGTTCTGCTTGTAGTCTTTTCTGTACTTCACATGTCATGTGAAATCATATCAAGCCTGAGCTGATCTCTGCTACACTTGTCCCTTTTGTCCTTTTAAACATGGATTGTCCAGATGGTTACTCTACCCCAGAACTCACTGCAAATAGCCTGGCCCGTGTTGCTGTCCCAAGACCAAATTGTATAGTACAAGAAGATGTGCTCGCTGTGTTCAACACATTCAGTATGGTGTGCAGCCAGCAACACTCACTTCTACATGAACAGGCTACACAGATAAGCCTGTGACTCACCACAATTCAGGCTAACTTGTGCACAGTCATAGGATGTACATATAGCCCACAACTCACACCAATCAGCATCACTTTTTACAACTCAGCATGACTATGTTTATATGCCAGCCCAGATTGTGAGAGTTCATAGGCCTGGAACCCTAGATTGGGGGGCCGGACTGCCCGTGAACCTGACGTTTGGTGGTTGCGGCACAACCGGGGAGGATGTTGTGAGGTCGTGATGTTGTTGGCAGGGAAAGGAGCACCTGCTACAGCCATTGCAGGGTGAGGAGCCTTGCATGTGAGTTGCAGTGTCCTAGGTTGGGCGAGGAGCCAGGCCGAGGGTGTGTCCTAGACAAGGGCAAGGAGCCATGTTGAGGGAGAGTCCTGGACACAGGCGAGGAGCCTTGTCTAGGATGGTTCCTAGGCATGGCAAGGAGCACAGGCCGAGAAGGGAACTGAATGTACTTGGATGGCGCGGGGTTTGCACATGGATGACGTGGTAGTTTAGGCGTAAGAATAGATTGCTTCCCAATAAGGAAGGCAGATGGCTAAGTACAGAAAATCTAATCTTATCTACTAGGGCAGACATAGTATTGCCCACCTGTCACACAGATGCCCCAGAATGCCAGTCTTTTGCCTTTGTGCAGTTCCAAGTAACTTGCACAACTTCCTATTTGCTGATTGCCTGTGCACATCAGACTGTGTTAAGATTGACAAGCTGCTGGAGCCCAAGGGCGCGGTCGAAGTTGACTTGCGGCATCTGCACTGGCGGCAGATAGAGCTTGTGTGTAAGTGGATGTGTTGTGGCGGGGATGTGCTATCTCCTCCGTGCCTAGGTGAGTTGAGATTGAGTCCAAAGCCGTGCGTATTTCTCAATTGTCATAGGGTTGACATGAACACCAAACCATGTACATAGTTAGCTATAGTGTACATAGGGCTTGGCTCTCAACCACAATAAATCACATTTACCTTCATGTTGGATGATTCAGTTCTCGGAATAGTGCCTTTATTGCCATTCTAGGTAAGGACCAAACAATGCCACACTGAGGGTGTGCCACAGCAAGTTTTTTCTTTCTTCAAGTTGCTCTCTGACCTGGCACCTTTAGTCCAGCTCTGGCTGTGCTTCTCTTCCTCAAGGCATCTTCATTGGCATACCTGGGCATCAGTGAGCAGCTCCAAGTATGGCAAAATCAAATTACTAATCACTAAGGTTCCAGGATGGGCTTCCACAATGGTGTTGAAGGCTACAGCGGGCTTGTTTTCACTGCAACAGAAGCACAATTCAGCCTAGAGGAGGCCCTAGAAACAGCTTTTGACCATTTCCGGGACCCCAGGAGCTTCCGGCAGGATGCAGAGGAGGGGTTGGCTGGGGAGGAGATGGATCAGGACATGGCAGAGGAGGACATGGCAGAGGGGGTCAGTGCAGGGGATCATGAGGTCAGCAACACTGCAGAAGAACAAGGTATGTAATCTACATGGTCATGTTCTTGCACTTGAGCTCATACAGTTGTTATACAGAACATGATGAGGCAGCTGCCAGCGTCAAGCCCAAACAGACACGCAACAAACTTAGTGCACATGCTAAAAAGAAGGCCAAGAAGGCCAAGAAGCTGCAGCAGGCAGCAGCTGTACGGGAGGCAGTTCAGGAGAGCCACGTCAAACGCAATGTGAGGCGGAGTCGGGCACACACCAAGGCGTGGCGGCAGGAGATGCACGGGGATGGGTCGTCCACCACAGCAAGTACAAAGTGGTCGCGGCAGCGCCATGTAATCTCTGCAGTGGCTATCCAGTTGACAGTTGAACTGGACTGCTTGCCGGTCACAAGCACTGGCTACTCAGCATGGCGCAATGAGACCAAGGCGGGTATAGGACAGCACAAGGAGACAACCCTGGAAAGTTTGATTGAGCAAGGATTTGATTACATGGAGTGGGATGGAATGTGAGTGCTTTTCCTGTGTTGTGACATTTTATACTGAGGCTTGCTAGGACTGCTGTGCCCATTCTCGACCATGAAGGGAGGGTGATTGCCCTTCTTGCTGGGCATCCTGCAGATGCGATGTGGCATAAGGTCACAGACGACCTAATCAATGACCTCAAGGCTTTGGAGAGAGATTTCTAGAAGAAGCACAGTGAGCATCGACGAGGTGATTTTGTTGCAGTCGACTTTGGGATCTCATTTAGTGGGGGCCAGACCAAACCGCACAACCTCAGTCAGCTTTCCTCCAACATCCCAGTCATCGCCAACTTCATTTGCTCCAAAGCTTGGCAGCACTTCGAGCAATTTGGCAGTTCTTGCATGGAGACTTGGGCCCCCTCTCTGCACAACAACATGCAAGGCACCCTCCAGACGTTGCTTGCCCGGTACCTGATTTGGTACCCAATGTCCCGCCAGGCAATGGACCACCCACATGGGCAGGCAAGACTGTCAATACCTCTGCCCAATCAAGACCTGTGGTGACAGTTCCTCACAGGGTCTATGCCAATCTGGCATGGGGCTGGTGTCTCATTGTGGCCTTAGGTGATTTTGACCCCAAGAAGGGTGGCCAACTGGTTCCATGGGACCTCAAGTTGGTTATCAACTTTCCCTCTGGTTCCAGCATCCTAATCCCATCTTCTCTCTTACTGCACTCCAACACAGTCATACAGGATGGAGAAG